GTGTGGCGCGGGTAGCCCCAGGATGCACTGCCCTGGTGTTGTGGTTGAGGTTGCTTCTCTCCCGTCAGAGGCGCCTCAGGCATGGGACGAAGCAGGCCCACCTGTGTAGATGGCAGCATCTTTCTCCTGAGCAATACAGCCCAGGTTCCAGCACCAGCCCTCCTGTGGCACCAGCATTGCTGTGCTCTGTCTCCTGAGGATTCCCAAACGTGCCTTACAAGGCCACAGTGGGCCACTGCGAGTCGTGGGGCCTTGGCCTCCCCTGCCCGAGCACCAGCACCCTCCTTGGATGTCTGGGGCTTGGCCTCCAAGGTGGGTCGAGTGCCTGCAGCCCCCAGGGCAAGTTCCCGGACTGAGTGTCTGCCTGTCAGCCAGAGAGGAGGAGGAAGAAAAGCGGTACGATACCTTCTGACCTCACCTGCCTCCCACGGGGTGCAAGGGCTGCTGGGCCCCACCTCTAAGGTCAAGCTGGACGTCAGACGTCGGGGCCCAGGTGACCAGCAGGACCAGCAGACTGGGAGTCCTGGTCTTGGCCTGTTAGACAGGCTGTCTGGAGGCCCCCACGGGCCAGCTCTGCCAGGACCACCTCATCCATTTTTGTAAATTTTGTTAATTGTAAATCACATTACATCTGTGTTTTTCACTCTGTTGGTTGGCTGGGTTCGTCTCGAGACTGCCCATGTGTCGTCCTCACCTGCCCTAATCCTGGCTCTCGGTGGCTCTCGGTGGCTCTCGGCCTCCTTGCTCAGGCACTGCTGGCTCTAGGGTGGCCACTGTGTGACAGACAGGAGAGCTGCCTGCCTGGGCTTGGGGACTGAGCCAGCTCTGGTGCCTTGTGGGGGACTTGATGGCTGCCCATCTGCCCCCCTCTTGGGATGGACTGCTGGACTGTGGATAGGGCCTGGAAGGTGGGACTGTCTTGATCTGAATGGTCAGTTTCTGCTAACGGAGGCGAAAGGCAGTGCCTTGCAGCATGTGGTTAGTGAGCCCCTACACCAGGGCAGCTCTGAAAGAGGTCATTAGAGGTCAGCTTCCTTTGAGGCTGTGCCAGCCACTCAGGGGCAAGCAGGACCCACATTCTGTGGTCTGAGTGGTACCTTGGCTGGTGGGCCGCTCCTGGCCTCACTGCCTCTACAAACGTGCCAGTGACCATGCTGGGCATGGTCCCTGTGGCTGGGTGAGAACCACTTCATCCTCAAATCCTCCTCGCCTGTGTCCCCTCCACTGTGGCCAGTGGTCTTCATAGAACAGCCACTGAGGCCCATGCACCTGTGTGTGTCGGGGTGGCCCCAGGGAAGCCACGTGGCCCAGGACTGCTGTCTGCCTCAGGGAAGGGGATGAAGCCAGCAGCTGACCTAGGTCCCTGAGCAACACTGCCCTGAATGTCTGATGCTGGGGCCCTCCACCTCAGGGCCTGGCTGGTCTGAAAATCAGGACATGGTGCTGCTAAGTCAGCAGGGGTGAGATGGGCATGGTCAAGTAGTGCTGAGCTGGACTGTGCAGGCCTGGTCCCCAGACTGGATACCCCCACAGTACTTCTGTTCCTTCCCACAGACGTGAGACCCCCTCACACTGGGAGGCTTGGGATGGTGGTTTCCACCCTCTCCTCCCCACCCCTTGGAAGACAGGCAGGTGCGTGGAGAGACAGGCCAGGCATGAATAGTAGAAGGCCAGCAGACCAGGGGTGACCCATCCTTGTAATGTCCCTCTTCCCATTCTCTCGAGTGGAGCAGGAGGAGGGAGAGGTGGCAACAAGGGGCTGTGGTAACCTCAATATCCTTTCTAAAAGCCTCCCTTAGCCTTACCTGGGTGTGGTGATGCAAACTTGTGTTGCCACACTGGGAGGCTGAGGCAGGAAGGCCACAGCAAGCTTTAGAGTCCAGCCTAGCAGCACCAGCTGGCCTAAACCATGTAGTGAGTGAGGTACTGTCTCAAAAATGCCCCCTGGGGCTGGGGATTTAGCTCAGCGGCATAAGCACCTGCCTTGCAAGCAGACAGTCCTGAGTTCGATCCCCGGTACCAATAAAAAGGAAAAAGAAAAAAAAAAGCCCCCTAAATCAGTTTGATACCCCCAGATTGGTTTTCCAGGAAGTCCATGCTGACCACAAGTACAGGTGCAGCCAGGAGAGCCTGAGGGTGCTGGGGACCATGCCGGAGCCCTAGACCTGGGGGCAGTGGCCATGGAGCTGGGGTGGGGTGAAAGGAGCACAGGAGCCCTGGGTAGGAGGGGGTCCTTGCACTGCCCTCACACCTTGCAGCTGCACCTCACCTCAGGCCCTGTACTTTGTAAGCTGGCCTCTCTTCCCTAGCTGTGCCACTGGGCCACCTTCCTGTCCTGCTGACCCGCAGCACTCACCACCTCCTGACCTCCAGTAGGCCCTGCCCAGCCCCTGCAGTGCTAGGCACATCCCATCCTCAGAGGGTGTGAGTGCGTCCTGGCGATGCACGAGGCCTCACAATCAGGCTGCTGACCTTACAGAGGCTGCTACAGTGGTCAGCCCTGAGCAGTCAGGAAGGTGGGGACGGGGCTCCCTCGGGTGGGCAGGCATCTACCCACTGCTCCATTCCCTGCCACTGGGGAGACCTGGGGTGCAGCCTGGAAGGCCTGACTGGTAGCCCGTTGGAACCACCCGCCCTGGCCCTGCCCCTTCCTCAGACAAAGGCTGCTCCCTCCTCTGAGGCTTGGCTGAGGTCCCATGGGCTCCACTGTGGCCGACACTGGGCCTTCAGTGATGCTCCATTAATTCCAAATGAAACCTCTGCCGTCCAGGGAAAGCACTTGGGGAGGCAGGGCAGAGCTGGGGCTGGGCTCTAGACCTCAGGACCAGTTCTGGATCCTGGAGGGAACTGAGGCCTGGGTGGCTTGGGCTTGGTCAAGGCCATAGGAAAGAGACCAGAGGGCTAGGGCCTGGAATGGCTTCTTTTGGCTTGAGGCTGGGACTCCTGGTGGGGGGCACATAGACCTGGGACTGTGCTGACTTGTAATTTGGTTGCAAATTTTTCATTTTTATTTTAGTAGTCTTGCCATGCTAGTAATCAAACCCAAGTCCTCATGCATGCTAGCCAAGAACTACTAAACTACATTCCACCCTAATTTATTTTATTTTATTTTTCTAAATCCATTTTATTTCAAGGATAAAATTTTTTTTGCTCTTTAGATTTCTTGAAATAGGATAAAAATTAAAAAAAAAACTACAACAAAATTTCAAAACATGACAGTCATACATGGTGCATACATTGCACACACTGTCACCCTCCCAATCATTCACCGAGAACACAGGACATCTGCATTCAGTTATCAGAACAATGCCAGCACAAATCGTCAGTCAACTCAGAGCAATCAGTAATACAACTATCATATTATTTTTGTACACAGACATATATATGCTTTTTCTTTCAGCTTCTCACACTGATGAAACAGTATGATGTTTACACGTGTCGTATTTATCTCACTAATGAGTATATTCTCAAGATGCATCCATTCACCTGTGTCTCCAGTTTATCCTCTGTTGGCTGAGTAGTACTCCATTGTATAAAAATACCACGTTTTTTATCTATTCCTCAGCTGATGGGGATTTAAGTTGTTTCCAAGATCTGGCTACAAACTGTCCCAGCCCTAATTTTTAACTTAAAAATCAAATTCATGCTGGGTGCCGCTATAATACCAGTAACACCAGCTATTTTCAAGGCTCATCCATGGGGATCACACATTCCACACCATCATGGGCAACCTAGACACTATCAAAATTAAAGGTGAGTTTAGCTAGGAGGATAGCTCAGTGGAAGAGCTGTTGTGTAGCATGTGTGATCTCCTGGGTTCAATCCCCACAAAAGAGAATGGGCAGGAAGTGAAGAGTGCACATCCTTCACTTAAGCATTCTTTGGAGGCTGAGGCAGAAGGACTGCAAATTTGGGTACAGACTGGAAATGTAATCACATTGTGCCTCAAAAATAGGGAGCTAGCGATATAGCTCAATGGTGTAACGCCTGCCTGTCAAGTGCGAGGTCATGAGTTCGACTCCAGGTATTAAAATAATAGTAATAACGACCGTCCACGGTAGCACACACGTGTAATTCCAACACTAGGGAGGCCAGGGCAGGAGGATGCTTGGAGTTTGAGGCCAGCAAGGGCTACTTAGTAAGTTGAAGGCCAATCTGAACCACATAGCGGACCCTGTCTCAAAACACCAAAAATAAATAAATAAATAAATAAATAAATAAAACGGGATGGGGATCGGACATAGCTCAGTAGAAAGGCCCTAGGTTCAATCCTCAGTACCAAGATAAAAACACTGAAATCGGGTCTCCCATGAAAACTCAAAGACTGTCTTGAAGATCGGGCAATTTAGAACCCGATTTCCCCTCCTGTGGAAGGGGCAGCCCAGCCACACGCAGCCTCTGCCAGGCTAGGCCGGAAGGGCGCCTCTCCCTGGCCAAAGCCCAACCCCAGCGCGTCGCAGGGCCGGGAAAGCCCGGTGGGCTTCCTGGGGGAGGTGACAGCGGCCCGCGGGGACGCCTTGCGCGGCGCCACGCTCCGGCGCCGCCGCTGTCCCTGGTCCTGACGCCGGGGAACCCGACGGGGCTTGGCCGCCCGCGCCCCTCGCGGCCGCTGTCCACGCGGCGCCTCGGTCCGAGAACAGACTCGGGGCGAGGGCGCAGGGTGGAGCCGCGGCGGCCTCCGGGAACCCGCCTTCCTCCGCCCCGCCCCGCCCCGCCCCGCTCCCGCTCTCCGCGCCGCCAGGCGGGGCTCGGCCATGTCGGGCCCGCGCGCCGGCTTCTACCGGCAGGAGCTGAACAAGACGGTGTGGGAGGTGCCGCAGCGGCTGCAGGGCCTGCGCCCCGTGGGCTCAGGCGCCTACGGCTCGGTCTGGTAGGGCCAGGGACCCGCGTGCGGGGCGGTCCGGCGCGGGGAGGGGCGCCGTGGGGGCGGGGCCCGGGAGCTGCGGGGCTCCCGGGGCGGAGGGGTCCCGCGTGGGAGGGGAAAGAAAGGGGCGCGCCCCGCCTCCGCGCCGCGCCAATGAATGGGGGAAGGTTGCGCGGGAAACTTTCCTTCCCACGCAGCCCCCGAGGGGGCCCCCCACCCCCCCGCGCTGGCAGCAGAGCCTGGGGCGCACGGCAGAGCCAGGCCCTGAGCAGCCGCTCTAGATTCTCTCGGACCCGGGCCAGGTCGTCCCTGGGGCCTAGCCGTGCCCCCTACCCGTGCAAGTGCTATTGTTCGGAGGCCTTGGCGGAGGGAATCGGGACCCCTCCCGTAGGATGGCTTCCCACGGGTCCCGCCTCCTCCGCCCCACTTTTCAAGGCGACTTAGACTCCACAACCGGCTTAGGCCTGACAGAGATGCCTGCCTTTCCCCCTGCAGTCGTTGGGCAGCCAAAGGCTCTATAGGATCTTCAGGTGCTAGGGCACCCGACTGGGGCGAGGTCTCTGAACCTACTCCCACCCTTTCCTCCGTACCCAGGCTGGAGGACCGGTGCAGAATCTGCTTGCAGCTGTGATGCTGGCAGCGAGGTTCAGCAAGGGTGTGGACATTGAGATGGGCCCCCAGCACTGTGGGGTGCCTAGGAGGCCAGTGCCAAGTGGCTGCTGCCCAAGGTGGGAATGGGAGGGCAGAAAGGAGGGCGTGTCAGAGGTGCCTGAGGGATGGGCTCCCTCAGACCCCTGGAGGTTGAGCTGGCAGGCAGGTCAGGGCAGCTGTCCATTTCCAAGACGTGGAGGGCAGGAAGCTGCAGGAGCAATGCGACAGTGGCCAGCGAGGACTCACCTCCGGGTTCACCATCTGGGAGTCCCTGGAGGTGAGATTCCCCAGTGAGGGCCAGGTCTCTCGCTGAACCCCGGGTGCTGTTTGCTCCAGTCGACTCTTTAGGTTTGAGGGTAATTCCCGGTCACTGGACTACAGACAAAATGGGGCAAGAGGACTCCTGCCCCCTGTCCCAGGGGTGACTTGAACCCTTCCCTGCTGGCTCCCAGCCCTGGCTATCTTCCCCTCAACATCTACGTCCGTGCTCCAGGGCAAAAGACAATCCAGCAGGACAGAGAGACATGCATTGGCCCAGGGATAGGCTGTGCAGAAGCAAGGCCACTACCCTTCATCGACCCACCTCATGGGACTGAGGAGGGTGGAGGACCATGTCCCCATTTGCCTTGGAGGTGTTAAGGACGGATAGGAGGCCTGAAGAGGAGGAGGCATGAACTGGGGAGGGGGGCCAGACGCCCCCTCAGTTGGATAGAAACTAACTAGATAGCTGCTAGATACTGCTAGATAACTAGATAGCTGCTAGATAACTGCTAGAAACTAACACCGACAGCTGGGTATGTGGAGCACTCCTGTATTCCCAGCTACTCTGGAGACTGAGGTAGGAGGATTCCTGTAGCCAACCTGGGCAACATAGTGAGACCTGGCTTAAAACACCAAACCAAACGCAAAACACCACCACTGGCCGGCCTTCTATTTTGAAAATGCAGAACCACTGGGCCAAGGGGCCTTAAAGGTGCTTTAGAGCTCCTTGGTGAGCCTCCTGAGTGCAGGTGGTGCACCGGATGGGCGGGCCGCTCACTCTCTCTCTGGCCCGGCCTCTCCGTGCGTGGGGTGAGTGGGTCCGTGAGACAAGAAGACCCGGCGTGCGGGGCGGGGAGACGTTGGCAGAGCAGAGAGCGAGCTGGGGGCAGCCAGAATGCCCCCTGAGGCCCAGCCCGCTCCTCACTCTCTCACTTTCTAGTTCAGCCTACGACGCGCGGCTGCGGCAGAAGGTGGCGGTGAAAAAGCTGTCTCGCCCCTTCCAGTCGCTAATCCATGCACGGAGGACATACCGCGAGCTGAGACTGCTCAAGCACCTGAAGCACGAGAATGTGAGTGCTTGACTAGTGGGGGTTACCTAAGGGAGAGGTCCAGGGAGAGTGGGGGGCAAGCCTGAGATGGGCCAATGGGGAGCGGGCTGGTGGGCGCGTGCCCGAGAACACCCCCACGTGAGCTGCCGGCGGTGCCAGTGTGATGGGGCGGAGCCAACGGGAGGCACGTCCACATTTGGGCCCACCGTTGGGGAGGCCTAAGGCTGAACCTGGCTTGCCTTTTCCCTTTGTGCAGGTTATCGGACTCCTCGACGTCTTCACACCGGCCACGTGCATCGAGGACTTCAGCGAAGTGTGAGCGCACACGCCTGGCCTGCGACTGCAGCCCTGACAGCTCTGGCAGGGAGTGGTGGTCCGGCCTTGACCTGATTCCTGACCCCACTGCAGGTACTTAGTGACCACCCTGATGGGTGCCGACTTGAACAACATCGTTAAATGCCAGACGCTGAGTGATGAGCATGTCCAGTTCCTCGTGTACCAGCTGCTACGTGGGCTGAAGGTGAGGGCATGGACTCGGGGCTGGGCCCTGGCATTGGCGGGCTGGACTCAGCAAGGTCTTCCTTCCCACAGTACATCCACTCGGCCGGGATCATCCACCGGGTAGGTGCCATCGTGGGTGTGGGTCCTGGTGGGCTCTGCCTGCGCTCATGCCCCACCCATCCCGCAGGACCTGAAGCCCAGCAATGTGGCGGTGAACGAGGACTGCGAGCTCAGGGTGAGGGCACGTGGGCTGGGGGGGTGGTTAGGACACCTGCAGGGTTTGAGGCCTGTGGTTCCCCCAGATCCTGGACTTTGGGCTGGCACGACAGGCAGATGAGGAAATGACTGGATACGTGGCCACACGCTGGTACCGGGCTCCTGAGATCATGCTGAACTGGATGCACTACAACCAGACAGGTGCAGTCTGCTCTTAGCCAGGAGCCTCTGCAAGCTGGGGGCACGCTGGGGAGTGAGCCCAAGGCCTGAGGGTCCTGGGGGTGATGCCTAGTCTTGGGGCACAGGCAAGGTCCCCCAGCTTTCAGAGGAGCCGGAAACATGGTGGGTGGTAGGTATCTTCCATTCCTGAGCTCACTCCTCCCTCTGCTCCAGCCTGGGCACAGGAGGAAAGGCTCTTCTGTCATGGGCCTGCACGTGACTGAGGGTCACAGGGCTGGCTCCTCCCAGCTCCAAGGAGGGCCTGAGGGTGGGGAGACTGACGAGCCTTCCCACCCTTCCTCACAGTGGACATCTGGTCTGTGGGCTGCATCATGGCTGAACTGCTGCAGGGAAAGGCTCTCTTCCCCGGAACTGACTGTATCCTTGGTCCAGGCTGGGGAGCAAGACAAGCTGGAGTCACTTTCCAGATGGTGGGGGTGGGCTCTGGCCCGCTTCTCTGTCCCCTACTATGCTACCCTCAGTTCCCTGCTCTCTGTGCAGTGCCCCCTGCCCTAGGGGTTGGGGGCTGGTGAAGGTCCATGGCTGGTCAGAGGGTATGTCCTGAACCAGGTAGACATTGACCAGCTGAAGCGCATCATGGAGGTGGTAGGGACACCTAGCCCTGAGGTTCTGGCAAAGATATCCTCGGAGCACGTAAGTCTGAGTCCAGCCAGCCACCAGCCCCTGTGCTGACTAGGCGGGGCTGTGGGGTATGGTGATACAGGGAACATGGGCAGGGTGGGATAGGCCCAGGCTAGGCACCCAACCCTTCCAGAGGTACAGGTAAATGGGGAGAATATTAGTGGTATGAGGGTCACTGAGGACAAATTTTTTTTTTTTTTTTTTTTTTTGTCTTTTTCGTTTTTACTGGTACCGGGGATCGAACTCACGACTGCCTGCTTGCAAGGCAGGTACTTATGCCGCTGAGCTAAACCCCCAGCCCTCTTTTTTTTTTTTTTTTTTGTCTTACTGAGGACAAAATTGAAGCACCAGTGGGGCTGTAGCTGTGGGCAGCGGTGTGAGTGGGGCAGGGAGCACTCTGGCTCTTGCTCCTACAGGACTCTGGGGCCCAGTGTGGCCTGAGCCTCTGGATCCCAGGAGGAAGTGGAGGTCTCTGGTCTGCCTGGCTCCTGCCTAGCCTGTTGGAGAGAATATAAATCAGGGCTCCCTGGCCAGGGAGGTAGGGGTCAAGCAGCCCCCCCCCCCGGACCCTTCTTATGTACCCCCAGGCCCGGACATACATCCAGTCCCTGCCCCCGATGCCCCAGAAGGATCTCAGCAGCATCTTCCACGGAGCCAACCCCCTGGGTAAGGACTGGCCCTGGGACGAGGCTGGGCTCCACCTCTGGCCTGAGAGGTGGAGCTGAGGCTCTCCTCTGGCCCCCTGCAGCTGTAGACCTGCTTGGGAGAATGTTGGTGCTGGACAGTGACCAGAGGGTCAGTGCTACCGAGGCACTGGCTCATGCGTACTTCAGCCAGTACCATGATTCAGATGATGAGCCGGAAGCTGAACCCTATGATGAAAGTGTTGAGACCAAGGATCGAACACTGGAAGAATGGAAGGGTGGGCGCGGGCAGGGCATGGAGAGGTGGGCTGTGCCTAAGTCCTAAGGGCTGTTTCTGCTGGATCAGGGCTTTGCCTGTTTCCTTCAGGAGATGCCCTGCTACTCCCCAGCATGGTCAGGAGGTAGAGGGCAGCACGGGGCAGGCCCTGGCTTTCAGCTGGGTGGAGGCAGCTCCCAGAGGGAGGGGCCGGGGCAGGCATAAGCTCACCTTTTTCCTTCACTCTCAGAGCTCACCTACCAGGAAGTTCTCAGCTTCAAGACCCCGGATCCTCCGCAGCTGCCTGGCAGCCTGGAGATTGAGCAGTGAGACAGGGCCACACTCCAGCCTGGCGGACCTGAGCTGGCCCCTTCCTCAGTCCTCAACTCTAGCCTGGGCGCTCTTACCCTTAGGGGAGTCTACATATGTGTGTGCGCACCAGCGTGTGCCTGCCATGTGTCAAGTCTGAGCAGAGGTGTTCCAGGGTCTCCTAGGTCCTCCCACTCTGTCCTAGCAACTAGGCTCTCCATGAGACCTCACAGTGGGGGAACCTGGATGCCTACGAAAGGCCTCCCTGGACCTGTGTCTTGTCCATCCCGGCTCTGCCTCAGAGGGTATCTGGGGTGGAGGGAGCCCAGATGGGCTGGAAGCCTGGAGATTCAAAGGGAATGTAGTGGTTAGAGCTGCTCAGGTTACAAGTGGGGGAACAGAGGGGCCTGCCCTAGAAAGTACCAACACCTGCCACAAGTCAGAGAGCCAGCCCAGGGCCTGTGCCCCACCAGGCTGGGCACCATCCCTCTGAGGGTGGCATAACTACTGCCACATGTCCAGTCAGAACAGCTGCCCAAAACTTAGAGCTTGCCTGTGGCACATGTGGGCACACGTGTACTCCTTCCTGGTGGTCACATGTGCAGGCTTATGTGAGCCTGCGAGCCAAAGGACCAGTCAAGTAGGAGGCCTGAGTTGGGGTGGTGGTCTCACTCTTTCTCCCCTAACTCCAGCTCCTGGTACCAAGGGGTGCTGAGCCTGGTCCGGCATTGTACCAGCCTAGAGCTCAGGGACCCTGAGGCATCCACATAAGCAGGGCCCAGGCTTTCTCTTTGGGCACAGGAGCTACAACTTTAAGGATGCTAAGGCAGGCAGAACACATGGATGTGGACTTGGGCACTTCCTGAAGCTTGGCCAAGACTGGACAAACCCCTGTCTGCTTGCTACCTCTGACCACTGTTGTGGCTCCACAGCCAGAGATCTGGGGTGCTCTGGTATGTGGGCCAGCCCTCGTCTTCCCTTCTCCCAGAAAGGAGATGACCACATAATCTCTGGGACAGGACCCTGCTTGGAGACATGCTAGAGGAGTGACTCCTCCCTGGAGAGGGGGTGACCTCTTGCCTCTTGGGACCCAGGGAGGTCCAGATGTCAAGTGCCTGCACCAGGGGTGCACAATAAAGGGGGTTCCCTCTTGCTCAGTCTGTGTCCCAGGTTCCAGACTGCACCCTCACAGTCCGTGCTGCTTAAGGCGGTAGGGAGCCAGATCTCCACACTACATCTTCGGTTGGTCTGGCTGTTTGAGACCCACACACTAACCACACTCTGTGGTACTCCAGTGAGACCAGCAGCCACTTCTGGCTCTCAAGAGACCAGGGGAGGATGACAGCTCTGGGGGGGCCTGACCAGATCCGTCCTGTATGGGAGGACGCTGGCTCCCTCCATAGGCACACTGGCTCCCAGCCTAGGTGCAGTCCCTCCCTCAATGGTCAGGGTACCTGGCTGGGGGTCAAGTTGGATGCCTGTGGGACTAAGACCTGCCCTTCCCCAGTGGCAGGACAGTGTCTGAAATAGCTGCTGCTGCTTTTCTGTTTAAGAACAGGAATTCAAGGATAGCTGGTGCTCCTGCACCCTATGGGTGGGCACGGCCTGTGTGCACTCTTTCCCTGTGTCTTGGACTTCTAGAGGCCTGGACAGTGGTTAGGCTGGTCCTGGGGGCGGCAACCAAGTTGTATGTTTGGACATGGATGAGAAAATGGAACCAAACCCTGGTTCCACCTCAGGAATGTGGTCTGACACAGGCTCTGCAGGCCTCCCACAAAGCACAGACAACTTGGGCTACCTGGAAAGATGTGGCACAGGGCACAGGACACAGATGTCTGCAGTCTGAGTGGCCCCAGGCTGCCCCTGCTGGCTGTCAGAGCCAGGTCTTAAGTGTGCCAGTCACTAGCCACAGCCCAGGTGCAAAGCTGTCCTGGCCCAGCTCTGCTGTTGAGCTGCTGATTCATGGCAGCAGGCGGGGTAGGGCCCCGGGGATCCAGTTACCAACAGTGCAGCTGGCTCTGAGGAGTAGACCCCGTGTGCCCTTTGAGACCTATATCTAGCAGACACAGCCTTGGGACTGGGCTTTGAGGAACAGCTTGGGTGGGGATGAGCCAAATGGGGTCTCACATGCTTGGAGGAGGTACCCCACATGCCACAAAAAGAGAGATGTGGGTGTAAAGGTCCCAGGGGCACCCACAATGTCAGCCTTCCACTCTTGTGGGACTGGGGAACAGAGGCCTCAGAGATAGGGTGGGAAATGTACCCTGAATATAGGTGACAACAAAGGTCTTCCTATGGAAAGGGGGAGACCCTGCACTGAGACATCTTTGGGGATACAGTAGGCGATGATTTCTGGCACACAGGCGGAGGGGGGTGCGACAGGAGTGTGTTGGGCAGGTAGTACTATTTGCAGGATGGGGTGAAAACCAGTGGCTCAGGCTGTCTAGGTTGGGGTCAGAACCCTCCAGAGTGGGACAGTAAGGACAGAGCCCCTGTGAGCACCCTCGGTGGAGATCGCGGGGCGGGGCCGCGCGCCCTCCCTTACCGCCCCCAGCCAGCTGGACCGGCGGCCTCGGGTTTCCGGAGGGCCAGAGCGCGGGTCACGTGCGCGGGGCGCTGGGGCCGGTTGGTCCGTGGGCGGGGGAGGGGCCGGAGCGCTGGACAGGGGTCGGAGCTGGCGCGGGAGCCAGGAAAGAGCGTGCAGCCTGCTGTCCCGTGCCGCGTGGGCCTAGTTCCGCGTGGGCCGGCGCGATGAGCTCGCCGCCGCCCGTGCGCAAAGGCTTTTACCGCCAGGAGGTGGCCAAGACCCTGTGGGTGGTGCGCGCCGAGTACCAGGACCTGCAGCCCGTGGGCTCGGGCGCCTACGGCGCAGTGTGGTGAGCGCGGGGCGGCGGGCGGTGGCCAGGGGCGCGGGGCCGCGCTAAGTCCCCGCCCACCCCCCCGCAGCTCCGCGGTGGACAGCCGCTCTGGCGCCAAGGTGGCCATCAAGAAGCTGTACCGGCCTTTCCAGTCCGAGCTGTTCGCCAAGCGCGCCTACCGCGAGCTGCGTCTGCTCAAGCACATGCGCCATGAGAACGTGAGTGCGCGCGTCCGCTAGGATGCGCGCCCGCGCACCAGGAGGGAATGAGGACCCCAGCCAGATCCCCTTCTCCGCAGCTTGGCTTGGCTTGGAGCTGTGTCTGGCTCCCCAGCCCAGGTCCTTCCTGGTCAAGGGGCAGTGACCTGCCCAAGCCTGCCCAGGCCCTCCAGGTTCACTTTCGTGGGGTGGCCCTGGGCCTGGACCCCTTTATGTGTTACATTGGCTTGTGGCCTGGCCTTCCCACCGCCCCCTGGTGGGAGAGCGGTTGTCCTCGTGGTGGGCGGGCACGCACCTGGGCAGAGGAGGGTCCTCCTGGAAAGGCGCCTGACTCTTCCCACTCCAGGCCTCTTCCAGCCCAGATGCACCTCTCTCCCGAGGCAAGTGGCCCCCTGGGATACAGGGCAAGGTCAGGTATTGTGACTGCCACAGCAGAGCCTGGGCAGCTGTGGCCAAAGGTGCCAAAGCAGGCTGCTTGTATCATCAAAAACTCTAAAAGCTTTTCCATCACTACCCTTGGGGTTGTTGGGGTGGTGGTGGATGGGGTGCCACAGTGCTGTCCCTGGGCTTCTCCAGTGGCCACTGCTGGTTGTCAGAGTGGTTCTCTCTGGGGAGCTTTCTTGCAGCTTTTCCTGGAGTCATGAATTCACTGCCAGTCTGGGCACTGACACTCTGTGCCCACAGCTGACGGGCTCCCATGGCTCCTGGTCCTTCTTAGCCACTCTGGTGGGCTACCCGTTCTCTTAGACACCCCATTTCTGCCCTGGCCCTGGGCTTGACCCCTTCTTATGTGGTGTCCATTCATGGCCAGGCTTTGTCACCCACACCTCACACCTGGGCCTTGACCCCGTGAGTGTAGCTCCCCCTCCTTGGTATCATCTCCCCCAGATGTCCCTGCATGCCCCATTTACCTTTCCATCATCCCTGTCCAACTGAGGGCTCCAGGCACCTGTAGTCCTGCTCATCTCCAGCCCCATTTGTGCTAGCTAGGGTCACCCCCACTGTGTCAGAGTCACCCACACAGTGTTAGGAGCCCAATCTCCCCACCACACCCCTGCCCTATCTGCAACTGAGTCCTGCTGCCTCTGGGATGTCCTGAACCTAAGCTGGGAGGTTCTGCCTACTATACCCCACTCCCATGGGAAAACTGAGGCCTGCAAAGGTTGAGTGCTCCACTCAGTGGGAACAGGGACCTGCCCCTTGCTCGCCTGCGGTCACTGTAGGCCTGTTTCTATCACCCTCTGACCCAGTTCCGTGTCCTGGAACTCTGCTGAGCACTCCTTTGCCTCCACCAGGCCCTTTTCTTCCCCTGTATCTGGCCTCATGTGATCACCCAGCTGCCCTCACTTCCTGTCCTTGTTCATTACACTGTGTTCCTGCAAGGCAGCCAGGTGCTCACATTCACCGTCACACTCCTGTTGAAACCCTTCCACAGTAGCAGACTTTTCGCATGTGTGTACGTGTCAGTCCTGCCCCAGGCTCCCTCTTGCTTCTCCTTGGCTCTTCCTGGTCTGGGTCTTGGCCACCTGGCCTTCCTCCCTGTTCCTCAAACTCAAGGTGTTCTCCCTCCAGTCTTGGTCACCAGATGTGTGACCTCTGCTGCCACACCCACCTGCTTCCCCAGCTGCTCCTTACACAGCCCTCCTCAGGGCCCCTGCACACCTTGTCACCCACAAATCCTAGGCCTGCCAGGGTCACAGTGGCTGGCTGATGTCCATTTCCTTTAACCAGGGATTCTAGGTGCCCAGGTCTGGCTACTCAGAGTGCTGCCACTTGACTTTGCTCCAAGAGGGACCTACCAGATGCTGGCTCTTCCCAGGAGGTGGCCCGCCCTGGTCCTGGGTCAGCTTAGTTCAGGGAGGACAAGGCAGAGGAAAGGCTGGATCTCTGGGACTGCTGGGAACCAGCCCAGACGTGGGGCTGCCCCTTCCCGAGAGGATCCTCATTGTCACCATCCAAAAATAGTGTGTGTCTGTGAGCAAGTGTGCCAGGGCTGGGTCGTGCTGCCCGTGGGCACAGGCAAGGACAGCTGTGGGAGAGTTCTGCCACCCTGGATGTGGTGTTGAGCCCTACATCATTTGTGTGCCCCCAACTCTGCCTGATACCCTGCCTCCAGGTGATCGGGCTCCTGGATGTGTTCACTCCTGATGAGACGCTGGATGAGTTTACAGACTTGTGAGTGCCACCTGGGCCTGCCAGGCAGGCTGGGAGAGGCGTGAGCGGCTCCTGGGTGGGGGCTTCAGGCTCTGGGTTGGTTTGGGGCCATCCTGCATTGCAGTCTACGCTACATCCCCACTGCTTCTGAGTCCTGGAGACCCGGCGGAGCTGGGGCCTTCTGCTGTCTCCGTGACAGGGCTGGAGGTGTGAACCTAGGACTTGGTGTTCATGAACAGGCAGGGCCTGTGTTGGAGACCCTGGCACCAGTGCATGCCCTGAAACCCAAGCTGCTGACCTCTGTTGGCAGACAGGGCAGACGTAGCTGGGAGGCCTACCCTGCCCCTGCCCTGAGAAGCCTGTGCCCAGTTGGCCACCTGACTTACATGCTGGCTGGTGGGAGGTCAAGGGGTGGGACAGGAAGGGCTGGAGGGGTAGCTAGTCCTTGTTTCCTGGCTGGCAGAGATCAAGGGCCCACACTAGGCCTGGTGTCCTTTGGAGTTGCTAATGCTGCCTCCCCATGGTGCCACCCATAAGCCCATGCTTTAGACTTCAGTTTCCCTCTCCAAGTTCCCCCTCACCCCCTTCTGTTGAACATTCAGAAACCCTAGCTGGGGAGGGGGCTGGAGTGGATGTGATGGGCGTGTGTTTGCGAAGACGGGGTGGTTCTGAGTGACAGGTGGGACCAGTGGTGGACAGAGCTCGGCACAGAACAGCATGTTAGGGGTGGTGGCCACCCCGAGGCTGGGAGGATGGCTGCTGGCAAGGATGGCTGTTGAGCTCCTGCTGGGATGTAGTCTTCTGGGGTCTAAGCCTGGTCCCTGTAGGAGCTGGTCCAGATCCAGGGCCAGGCCCTGTCCGCTAATGCCCCCAGCCCCTTCCCACAGCTATCTGGTGATGCCATTCATGGGCACCGACCTGGGCAAGCTCATGAAGCACGAGACGCTGAGTGAGGACCGGATCCAGTTCCTTGTATATCAGATTCTGAAGGGGCTGAAGGTGGGGGTCTGCAGGGGCAGCCATGGGAAGGGGTCAGCAGGGCTCTGGCTGGGGTCCCTGAACTGATGGCTGCTTGGTCTTCCCTTCAGTATATCCATGCTGCTGGCATCATCCACAGGGTAAGTTCCCCTCCCTGGCTGTGAGCATGAGAGGGGAGCAATCCCCACCTCCGTTTCCCACATGGGGTCTGCTTGGGGGTGCACACAGGGTCTCATACATGATCCCATTGCAAGCAATCCCTAGGGACCCAGCCCCTGCACTTTCCCTCAAAGGGCTGTAGGGGAAAAGGGCCAGGCCCTGTCCAGTGGCCCCAGCAGGTATCACCCTGGCCATTGGCCTTGCATATGCTCAGGTTGTAGGGCACAGTGGTCGCCTTTCCTCTACCTAGGACCTGAAGCCCGGCAACCTGGCTGTGAACGAGGACTGTGAGCTGAAGGTGTGTCTGGCCAAGGAGGATGGCTGGAATGGGATGGCAGGGTCCTGTCCACCTGTCAGCCCCAGGCGCAGGCAGAGGGGAAGGCCCAAGGCTCTTGGGCCCAAGATGAGCAGCTGATGGGCATGATGAGGCCCTTGAGGTGGCGCTGGGGTACTCCATACCTGCCTCAGTGAAGTGGGGCACCCCAGCTCCCATGGCTGACCTAGGTCAGGCTGTAGAGGTGGGCTGGGAATGTGGAGCAGGGTGAGGAGAACCCTGGTAACTGTCCCTGAATGGGTCCATCTGGGTATAGTGGCCTCTGGGAGGACCCAGGGAGAAACCTTGGGGTCCAGGGCCCTGACCTCGAACCCTGGTACGGTGGCAGAAGCTACCAGCTGGGACCACAGCTGCCTCTTGTACTCCTTGGGTCCCCAATTCTTCCAGATCTTGGACTTTGGTCTAGCTCGCCAGGCAGACAGTGAAATGACAGGATATGTGGTGACCCGGTGGTACCGGGCGCCTGAGGTCATCTTGAATTGGATGCGCTACACACAAACGGGTGAGGGTGCCTCAGATGCAAGGCCCTCTGCACTGCATCTGCCTCCTCCCTTGTTTTCTGTTGTGCTGGGATGGAAGCTAGGGCCTCACATGTGCTAGGCTAGAGGTCTGCCACTGAGCTCCCTGTTTCTTGATGGGGAAGCCCAGGGAGGGAGAGGCAGTTCAGACCCTCCTTGCCTGTGGCCACCCCATCCCCTTGTCTGTGCATGCCACCCCTTGCCCACGGGACACTGATGGGGGGCTTCGGTCTCAGTGGACATCTGGTCAGTGGGCTGCATCATGGCGGAGATGATCACAGGGAAGACGCTATTCAAAGGCAACGACCGTATCCTCCCGCTGGGGCACTGCAGGGCCCCTGCCCAAGCGGTGGGTGGATGCGTGGTTGCATGAGTGTGGGTCCTGCCCTCTGGCCCTGTGCTGTGCTCCTGAACTCAGTGCAGACCTGGATCAACTGAAGGAGATCATGAAGGTGACAGGGACGCCCCCTGCTGAGTTTGTGCAGAAACTACAGAGTGCAGAGGTCTGTGGGGGTTTGGGGGTGGGTGCAGCCAGCTGCCTCTGCTGGGCCCCTGGTTAGCCCCTTACTCTTCTCCTGCACAGGCTAAGAACTACATGAAGGGCCTTCCTGAGCTGGAGAAGAAGGACTTTGCCTCTATCCTGACCACTGCTAGCCCCATGGGTAGCGCTGGGCGGTGGGGGAGTCTGGGGCCCTAAGTGTGAGACCTCACTGTGACCTGGCCTGTGACCCCCCCAGCTGTGAGCCTCCTGGAGAAGATGCTGGTGCTGGATTCAGAGCAGCGAGTGACAGCAGCGGAGGCACTGGCCCACCCCTATTTCGAGTCTTTGCACGACACAGAAGACGAGCCCAAGGCCCAGAAGTATGATGACTCCTTTGATGACATGGACCGCACCCTGGATGAGTGGAAGCGTGAGTTGGGGCTTTGAGGAGGACCTATATCCAGATGCTGCAGAGGCCCATCGAGGGAGGAGATGGGAGCTTGGGGCTGTGCAGCTTGGCCAACATGACCTCTGGCCTGGAGCGTGAGGCAGTGGAGAGGATGTTCCCATAGGGCCTTGAGCCCTCCTGGTACAGGAGCTGGTCCCAGCTGGAGTGGCCCTGAGTTTAAAGCAGCAGTTTTCCCCGCCTTCTCCCCAAATGGCCCAGCCTCCCCATAGCTAGGCCAGTGACCTTGGAGCTGCTTCCACTTGTCTCCAGCCTCTGCTATGACCCTCTTGAATTGTCCTTGTGTCTTCCCCACTCCAGGAGCCTTGCTACTTGGACTACTGTTTGCTCCTCCTCTCTTGCCTGCAAGGGAATGCCCACCTCTTATAGCCCCTCCAGCCACTCTGAGCAGTCCACACCTCACCATGGTGACTTGCTCTGCACTTCAGGGCTGTGTGACAACTATGTCCCCTTATACTGAGGGCCTTCTCTTCCTCTTTGAGGATCAGCCTTAGGCAAGCTCAGTAAACCCCTCTCCCCTGCATCCAAGCCCCAAACTACTCTGGAATGGCAGGTGGTCATGCAGCTCAGCCCGGGGTCTGGCATGTCTGAGGGCACAGGTCAGCACTGGGCCATGCACTGGGTCCCAGGCCTTGCTTTGTCTGACTCAGAGCCAGGGCCACAATCCTGTACCTGGAATGGAAGGGCCTGGATAGGCTGAGGCCCTCAAATCAGGGCTTTATACACTTCTAGCAGCGACTCTCTGCCTCTCTGCTGTGTCATGGGCTTGCTTCTGAGTGATAAATGGCTTCTGCAACCGAGCAAGATAACTCAGAAACCACAGGCCGCAGGGTTCTGTCTGTGGTCCCCACCCACACACACTGTTGCTGGGAGATCCTGTTTTTACTGTGGCTGGAGCCCTGGGAGCTTCTGTTTCCCTGGGAAAACTGGCTTTTTAGCAGTCTTCAAAAAACTCCCAACTGGGCTTGGCCCAATTAGGATTAGCAGAAAGGCCCAGGAGGCCCTGGCTTCTGCCCACGGTGCAGCAAAGGGCAACTGTCTCACTTTCTGCTCTTTGTAGGTGTCACCTACAAAGAAGTGCTCAGCTTCAAGCCTCCCAGGCAGCTGGGGGCCAGGCTTGCCAAGGAGACAGCCCTGTGAAGACCTCTGGGTGGTGTAGGGACACCTTAAGAACCCTGGTGAGGGGCCTCAGCTCCTAGCCTCTCCTGGGAGAGGAGCCCTGATTACTACCTTACCTTGCCCGGGGTTGGAGGCCAAGTAGACCCTCACCCCGTGGACTCTCCTGATCCCTGCTCCAGCGCTTTCAGCACAGGCCTCTGCCTAGCTTGGGCTTCCCTCTGGCCCCCGAGGCAGTCACCCCTCTATCAGGACGCAGGAGAAAGCCTCAGGGCTGGCAGGTCTGTGAGAAGGAAAGGGAGGGATCAGGGTGCCAAGTCAGTACACTGGCTTCCCTGGTTTGTGTGGACACTCCTGCACCCCAGTCTGGGGTGGAAACTAGCCCTTTGCTGTGCCCACCTGGCTGCAAGGAAATAAACCCTTTTGTGGACCTCCCACTCTGACTGTGCAGTCTGATGCCTTAGCACCACTCAGCCCAGCTAATACGGTACAAAGCAGGTGGCTGCTGTTCTTGAAGCTCCTGAGCTCGCCTCCTTAGTTTAGGAATTCGATGCCCAACTCCCCATCCCACCCAGTGGGCCTTTGACCTCCCCCTGAGGTGCGGGCCCCTCCTTCCTATGTGAAGTGACGTCCGCTAACTCAGCCTTGGGACCTGCAGCCCGACCCAGGGTGGCAGAAGGGCAGGGTTCGCAGCCTAGAGTTCCTAGGTCCCCTTCAGACCAAGGTTCCGGGGGGGTAAGGGAGGAGTCACCCTCACCCTCTGATTGACGGCACCCAGGGGCGGGTTCCACCGAGTTCGCCCCGGGCGGCACCGGCGAGCGCGCGGCGCCCTCTGCAGGCCGTTCGAGGCCCCTCTGGCTTGGAGTGGACAGGCCGAGAGCGCCGGCAGTCTGCGCCCCTGGGCCCAGTCCCAGCGCGCGCGCACGCGAAGTCGGTGAGGCCGTAGATTGTTTCCCCGGTCGCAGGCTCCGCCCTCACGAGGCACGTGGCCCTGGTCGGCCAATCGGCGCTCGCGCTCTGGCCGCCACGGGGTCGCGCGCTGGCTGCCGGGCCTTACAAGCGCCCAATGCAGGGCGGAACCCGGGGTCGGATTTGGACGTGAGCTCCTCGTGGACTGCGGTGCTGTGGGCCGCGGTGCTGTCGCCGCCACCAGGCCTCGCTCCAGAGCCTCGCTCCCTACTTCCTCCCCGCCGCCTCGCTTTGTCCCCTCTCCTGCGTCTGACCCCCAACCCATCTCCTTTCCTGTCTGGTGTCTTCTGGCGTTCGAGTCGCGCCCAGGCGCCCTCCCACTCCTGCTCCCTTCCGCACATTCGGGCTCCCGGACCTTCTCGATCTCTGACCAGTGGCCTCCGGGGCTGCTCTGTACGCCAGGGACGTTTGGGGGAGAAGGCCACTGCCTCAGCCCGCGGGAGGGACCCTGGGCTTCCAGACACCAGTCCCCAGAAGGCACTGGGCGGGGGTCCGTGGCGGGGAGTTCCCTGGGGTCTTCGCTGGCGGGGCAGTGCTCAGACCCTGGACAGGGCCTGAGTGCGGACTAGGAAGCCACGCTGAGGATCCTAGAGCGCCTCGGGCCTGCGTGTTCCCGGTGCGGTTTCTGGCTAGGTCTCAGCCGGATCCTTGGCTTTGAGCTGTCCCCGTGCTGCAAAGGGGTGGGGACAGACAGTGCTGTCATCTGCCAGCTGAAGGCGTAACATCCCTCAAGAGTACCATAGTGCAAAGTGACCACAGTGTAAACCATGGGGACTGCTCTTGTGTATCATGAGGACATGATGGCCACCCGGCTGCTCTGGGATAAGTAAGTGTTCTAGTCGGGGTAGGACCGTGGAGGGGACACAGGACACTGAGCATTCTGTCTGCCCCAGCTCAGAGTGCAAGATCGAGTGTCCTGAGCGCCTGGCTGCAGCCCTGGGCGGTCTCCAGCAGTGCGGCCTGGAGCAGAGGTGCCTATACATAGCAGCCCGCGAGGCCTCGGAGGCAGAGCTGGGCCTGGTGCACAGGTCAGAGAAGCCCACAAGCTGGGCACCCCCCTATCAATACCTACTGAAGCAGTCCTTCCCTGCATGCCTCCTTTACCTTGAGGAGGAGGCTGGGCTCTGGGCTAGAGGGAGCAGTGGTGGACCATGGTGTCGGAAATCCCAACCCCTGCCTCCTAAGTCCCCTGTGCCTGTTGGTGACCTGCTTGCCTGCTTGTCCCTCTGCAGCCCAGAGTACGTGGCCCTAGTGCGCAGGACCCAGACTCTGGGAACAGAGGAGCTCCAGGCACTTTCTGGACAGTATGATGCTGTCTACTTCCACCCGGTGCGTCCCTGGGGTACCCCTGTACATAGTTACCCACTCAGATAGCATATCCACATGTCTTTGTGTACCCTGTTGCTGACACCCTGCCTGCCTGTGTCCCCTTAGTCATGCCTGGGACAGTTCCCTGCAAGCGCAGCTTGTTGGTACTTCCAGCACCCAGGACCAGCCTAACTTGGCAGTTTGTGAGCCACAGCTGGCACCGGCAGGGCAGGCAGGGGCTGATCTGCATCCACTGTTCCACAGAGCACCTTTCACTGTGCCCGGCTTGCTGCAGGTGCTGCACTGCAGCTGGTAGATGCCGTGCTGACGGGAGCTGCGCACAATGGGCTTGCCCTGGTGAGGTGAGCACAGCCTACCTCACGTGGGTTCCTCCCATGAGTGGCCCTGTGAGGGATGACTTTGCTGTGCCCCACACCTCACTCTCACCCTCAGGCCTCCTGGGCACCACAGCCAGAGGGCAGCTGCCAATGGGTTCTGTGTGTTCAACAATGTGGCTATAGCTGCTGAACATGCCAAGCGGACACATGGGCTGCACAGGTGTGCCAGGCCGGCTGCAAGGGTGGGGGCACCTGGGCCAGGCAGACAGGTGAAACAGGTGCCTTAGACCCACCCTGCCCCTTCTTATCCTGAGTGGGCTGCTGCCTGGAGGTGAGAGGTCTCACATGTCTGACCCCCACTGCACTCTGAACCCAGGATCCTCATTGTTGACTGGGATATCCACCATGGCCAGGGCATCCAGTACATCTTTGAGGATGACCCCAGGTGAGCTGAGCTTGGGGACATGACCCTTCCATACAATGCCTTTGGGGGGGGTGTACACTGTGCAACCTGGAAAAACACAGACTGCCATGTGATCAGGAATCAATGTTCTTTGGAAGTCATGGGGTGATGGCCAAAGCCTCTGACCTCTGACCTCTGGCCTGACTGGCTTTCAACAGTGTGCTTTACTTCTCCTGGCACCGCTATGAGCACGGACGCTTCTGGCCCTTCTTGCCAGAGTCAGACGCAGACACGGTTGGGCAGAGACAGGGCCGCGGCTTCACTGTCAATTTGCCCTGGAACCAGGTGCTTGCCCTCAACCCTGGATCCTCTAACCCAGCCCACCTTCTCACCTGTACCTTCCCTACCCTCAGCTCTGGGGCTGTAGAATGTAGCCTGGTGAATCCCACCAGATTCCCCCAGAGCCCGGGTTCTAGTGGGTGTAGACCCCAAAGTCCAGTTGGCAGGGCTGCCTGCTGATGCCTCCCCTGCTCTGTGCTACAGGTCGGGATGGGCAACGCTGACTACCTGGCTGCCTTCCTGCACGTGCTGCTTCCAGTGGCCTTTGAGGTGACTGTCCCTAGAGTAGGGGACCTTATGCCTGCCCAGAGGTCTCTGTGAATGGACCTCTGAAGGTGGGGTCTCAGGAGGCTGGGCTGACAGTGAGGCCTCCCTATTGCTCAGGCTGTAGCTGCTTTTTTGCCTCCTCACCCACAGTTTGACCCTGAGCTGGTGCTGATCTCCGCAGGATTTGACTCAGCTATTGGGGATCCAGAGGTGAGAGCCTGGCTGGGTTGGGTAGGCCTCTGGTGATCTGGGCCTAGGTTCCCCTTACACGTGGATCTGGTTCCAGGGGCAGATGCAGGCCACACCAGAGTGCTTTGCCCACCTCACACGGTTGCTGCAGGTGCTAGCTGGTGGCCGTGTCTGTGCAGTGCTGGAGGTGACTGCAGGGGGCAGCTGGAGGGTGCCTGGGTCAAAGGTGTGGGGTGCCCTTCCTGGGCAGTGAGCCCACCCCAGGACCGCTCCTCCCCTTCTTGTCTCTACTTTCTCCCCAGGGCGGCTACCACCTAGAGTCCCTGGCACAGTCAGTGTGCATGACTGTGCGGGCACTGCTGGGTGACCCCACACCTAAGCTGTTGGGGCCCATGACACCATGTCAGAGGTGAGAAAGGAGGAAGGTGGGAGGTCCTGGAATACAAGGCAGGCTGGGCTCGCTACTCTGCTTCTCCCCACAGTGCCCTGGAGTCCATCCAAAATGTTCGGAAAGCCCAGGCCCCTCACTGGAAGAGCCTCCAGCAACAAGGTTAGCACAGTCTAGGCCTGGGCTGGTGGCTGTCACATCGGGGTCCTGTGCAGTGACTTTGACTTGGAGCCTCCCCGAGATGTGTCTCCTGTGCTGAGTCCCAGCACCCACTTCCCAGAGGGGAGGCCCCTGGTACTACTGCCCGGGGATCCTGTATGTAAGGCAGAAGCAGAGGTGACTTCACCAAGGCCTCACCTGGACCAGCAGCACCTCCACCCCACAACCCCCATGCGAATGGCTGTTGTCCTGACTGCTCCACATCCCCGGGCTCTACCCGCTGATATGCTTCATCAGGAGGAGTCAGCCCCAAAGTGTGAGGCAGAAGACTGGGCCAGGTATGCAGAGCAGAGTGGGGGAGGGGTGCCACGTGTATGTGAGTGCCAGTGTGACTGATGTGCTGTCACCTACTGTCTGTGTCCGTCTGGCCTGCCCATCACAGGTCACATGAGTCCCTGGCTCAGGATGAGGCCCTCACTGCACTTAGGAAGCTCCTGTACCTCTTAAATGGGATTCTGGATGGGCAGGTAGTGTTGCCAGGGAGGGCATGGGATGGCTGTGGACGCAGGAGGGCTATGTGTGCAGGCCACAGGGATATGTTACCTTGGGCAGGGATCAGTCTCAGAATAGCCCAGAGAAATGCTTTTTTTTTTTTGGTATCAGGGTTGAACTCATGACTACGTGCCTGCCAGGCAAGTGCTTACTACGGAGCTAAATCCTTGGCCTGGGAAATGCTCTTTGATGAGAGGGAAAGTGGATAACCTCATTTTTGGTTTCAAACATTTTGTTTACAGCAATAGTGTGATTTCACCTCAGTTTTCAAGAGGTCAGTAACTGTAATGTAGTCAGGGTTTGAAAAAGAAGGTATGAACAAATTGGGTGTGGTGGCTCATGCTTGTAATCCCAGCATTCTGGGAGGGTAAGATGAGATCACAAGTTTGAGGCTAGCTGGGGCAATTTAGTGAGACCCCATCTCATAAAATAAAATAATAAAATAGGCTGGGAATGTAGCTCAGTGCATGTGTCTGTTTATCTGGTTTGAGAGTCGGCTGTTACCTCACCTCACAGGTAAGCGGTGGAGTTGCAGCCACCCTGGCACCTGCCGTAGCAGCCACCTTGGACATAGCCATTAGGCAAAGTCTATCTCTTGGAGCCCAGAGGTAAGTTTCACCCGGTCCATGGGTGTCTCCTTCTCTGAAGGCCCCATGGAGAGGGTCCTGGGAATGGACTCTGGGCAGTGTGGAGTACAGCCTGGCCTTAGCTGACTCTTCGTCAGGGTTCTCTGTGTGGTGCTGGGACAGCTGGATCGGCCACTGGACCTTGCTGATGATGGGTATGATTCTTAGGTCTCAGGTCTGTCAACATGTGGGTGGATAAGTACGTGACAGGTTTTTGACTGCAGGCCTCTGTGGGTGGAACACTGTTAATACTGAATGCAGTCTTCATCAGCTGGTTTGACTCTGGTGGTAGCACCAGGCCAGAGGGTCAAAGGTTCTGTCCTGCCCCTCCCTAATGGTCCCCTTGAATTCTTCTCTACTATCTATGTGCATGTGTCCCTTGTCCTCTCTCCCTGAAAGGAGAATTCTGTGGCTGAACATTCGGGGCAAGGAAGCAGTCATACTGTCCATGTACAATGTCTGCATGCCACTGCCAGGGGTGAGTGACAGTGTGTGTGTGTCTGTGTCTGTGTGTTTGTGTGTGTTGGTGGTGTAGGTGCTCCCTGGCATGGTCAGGAGCATCCACAAGCCCTATCCTCTCCTGGTTCCCTGCTTAGACTTCAGGGACTGTGAGCTTGGGAAGTGGGATAGCAGAAACCAGCAGGGAACTATGCCCTAGATGAGGGGCTGGGCTCTGCTGCTGTCCCCACAGACGACAGGAGGGTTCCTGAGCTGCATCTTGGGCCTGGTGCTGCCCATGGCTTATGGCTTCCAGCCTGATGTGGTGATAGTGGCGTTGGGGCTTCACCATGGCCTTCAGGACCCCCAGGCTGCTCTCCTGGCTGCAATGCTCCGGGGCCCGGCAGGTGGCCGAGTCCTGGCTCTCCTTGAGGTGAGCCTGAAAGGGTGGTTGGCTGTGGGTTGGGGGTAGGAAAAATCAGGGACTCACTGCCCCTGCCTCTCCTCTGTTCCAGGAATCTGCACCCCAACTTGCAGAAGCGTTGGCCCAGGGGCTCTATGGAGAGGCGCCCCCCAACTTGGGCCCTTTCTCCCCGGCCTCTCCGGAGGACCTTAAGACCCTGATGAGCCTGCGAGCGCAGCTGCAGCTGCGGTGGGAGATGATGCGGGTGGAGAGGCGCGGTGGCACTGAGCCTGACGGCTCTCCTTCGCGGCAATCCATTCCGGGAACGCCGCTCAGTTGATTAATGGAGCTCCCCCTCCGTCCTGCTGGGAGTCCGCTGTCCCTCCCACCCTATCAGTAAACGTCCGTTAAATAGCATCCGACCCCGTCTCCTTTATTGAACCGGCTAGGACTTCAGTGTACCCCCCCCCCCCGCGGGAAACCTGCCCCGCGCGCCGGAAGTCCGCTTGCCCTGTGACGTAATTCCCGCGCGCCTAGCTAGCCGTCGGGCCGTCGCTTCGTTGTGACGTCAAGGCGGCGGGAGAGTGAACCGGGCCCTTACCTCTCGAGGCGGGCTTACGGGCCAGACCCGCAGACCCCGCCGGCCGCGTCCTGGCCCGGAGGGGGTGCGAGGCCAGCGCGTGCAGTGACGTCCGGGGGTTTGCCCGCCGCGGTCGGCGACCCCTAAGGTTTCAGACTGCAGAACAGTGGGCGATCGCGTCCCAAGTCGCTGGGCTCGGGTAAGGAGGTTGCCTGCCCTTGGCCTCCGGCGCCTTCCGGCTTCAGGGAGTGATGGCAAGCATCACCCAGCTATTCGACGACTTGTGCGAGGCCCTCCTGCCCGCCGCACGGCCTCGCCCAGGGCAACGCAGCGTGGATCGCAGGAGGGCCAAGCAGAGCCTCAAGAGGGTCGCCTACAATGCTCTCTTCACAAGCCTTTTTCAAGAGGATGCTCGTGCGTTGCAGCCCGACCTGTCAAAGCTCCCAGTGCGAAACAAGGTCCTCATGTTGTCCTTTGACCTGAGAGTGGGCGGCCTGGGCCCCGAGGCTGACCGCTTGGAGGAGCTGGTGGAGGCCCTGGAGGCGACGTCTCGCAGCCCACTGCTGGAGGTGGGGTCCGTGTTGACCCTCCTAGTTCAGCTGGCGGGGAGTGGGCCCCCTCAGATCCTGCAGAGAAAACGGGACTATTTCTTTAACAACAAGCACGCAGGGAGAAACGTTCCGTACAGTGGATACGACTGCTATGACCTGAGCGTGTTTGAAATGGACGTTCAGTCCCTCATCGCCAGAGAGGAGTATCTGTGTCACAGCATGATCCGGGAAACACTTCAGGTGATGGAGGCGGCCCCAGGCACTGGCCTGCCCACCGTTGGTCACTTCTCGTTCGGTGACTCCTGTGGTGACAGGTTTGAGAGAGATACGCGGGTCTCGCTTTTCGGTGCCCTTGTCCACAGTCGCACTTACGACATGGAAGTTCGGCTGGACTTTCCTCCTGTGCCGGACAGCGCAGACCTTTCTGGACTGGCCATTAAGGTAGTGTTTGTTTTCCCCGTCTTTCTCTCCAGGGGTTTGGAAAATGCTGTCTTTGCCCTTTCTTGTATCTTGGTAAAGGGAGAGCAGCTCCATGCAGGTCACCAGGTGGCCAGGCTGCCCCAAGGCAGAGAAGTTGAGAGGGCAGGGCCACCCACCCAGGGAGGCACTGTCGAGTTGCAGGCCAAAGCCTTTTACCTAACCTGCAGGGCATGTTGTTAAGTCTCCTCTTCTGCTGTGTAGAGCTGCTAATTAAAGTAAAATAAGAAATATGTTGATCAGTTGCAGAAACCTTATTTAGTTCACATGTGACAAAAATATTTGTTCGTGGTGTACATGCAGTTTGTACTTTTCTTATAACATGGGTATTTATTCTCTGTAGAATTCAGTAAAGGGATATGCTACAGTTGAGTGGTTCTTTTTTTTTTTTTTTTTTTTTTTGGTACCAGTGATCGAATTCACGACCACACCCTTGCAAGGCAGGTGCTTGTGCTGCTGAGCTAAATCCCCAGCCTGTCTAGGTTCTTGTGCGTGGAAAGAATTGCCAAGCACACACGTTGCAGTAAGTCGTTCTGTTTATTGAAGATTATGGGACAGTAGCAGAAAGAGGCAGAACTCTTGAAAGGCTTCCACGCAACTCAGTATTTAAAGGGTCAGACACATTTAACTTCAGATGCCTCCAATTGTGGTCAAATATCTCTTAATCCAGGTTGCCTCTCACTTTGTCTCTCACTGGTGTCGGAGTTAGTATACTGTTATTTTTGTTTTGTTTTGTTTGAGACAGCGTCTTGCTAGGTAGTTCAGACTGTCCTTGAACTCAGTAGGCTGACCTTCAACTTGTGGCAGTCCTCCTGCCTCAGCTTCCCAAGTCCTAAGATTACAGATGTGTGCTGCCATCCCTGGCAAAGAATATACTGTTATTTCTTTACCGTGGAATGTTTAGGTTATTTCAAAACATAAATAATGCTATAGCAAATATCTTTTTTGGGGGGATACTGGGGATTGAACTCATGACCTTGCACTTGCCAGGCAGCTGCTTATGCCGCTAAGCTAAATCTCCAGCCCTATAGCAAACATCTTGGTGTACACAAACTTTTCTGTGTCTAGTATACTACTTTTTTAATTTTTTTTATATATATATATTTTAAGGCAGGGTCTCACTACATAGCACAGGCTGGCCTTGAACTTGGGGCAGTCCTTCCTGCCTCAGCCTCCCAAGTGCAGGGATTACAGGTGTGCACCTCTGTGCCTGGCTGTGTGTCTAATAGGCTTTTGTATTCCTTGAATGGAACTTTTAGGTGAGAGACATTTCATTGTAAGATATTTAAACCAGGTGTGGTGGCTCACACCTGTGATTCCAGGACATAGGCTGAGACAGGATCGCCACAAGTTCAAGGGCAGTCTGGGCTACCTAGTGAGATCTTGTCTCAAAAAAGAAAAATAGGGGCTGGGGATTTAGCTCAGCGGCATAAGCACCTGCCTTGCAAGCAGGCAGTCGTGAGTTCGATCCCCGGTACCTATAAAAAGGAAAAAGACAAAAAAAGAAAAAAAGAAAAATAAGTAAAGCTATATTGATGTTGTGTGTTCTGTGAACTGGAAATTGGTAGCCTTACTGTATTATGTTGGTTGTGTAAGTGATTGACTGTGCTGTGCACACGTACTTAGGGAGAACAGAAGAGACGTGTGCCAGGGCCTTCCCTGCAGTAAGTGCAAGCACATGGATGAGGTTTCCAGCGTCTGACCCACTTACATATTCAGTCACAGGACAAGATGGAGGTTCACTCTTTCCTGTGGTCTCCAGGTCCCTCAGAGCGTGGATCAGTGGGAAGATGAAGGGTTCCAGTCGGCTTCCAATTTAACTCCTGATTCGCAGTCTGAACCAAGTGTGACCCCAGATGTGGACCTGTGGGAAGCTGCGCTCACCTATGAGGTCAGCAAGCGGAGGTGCTGGGAGCGAATCGGATGGTGAGCCTTTTTCTGCTTGTCAGCCCCTCCGGCCACGCACTCTGTGGCACTGTGGCACCTGGCAAGCTGCAGGCGCTGCTTACTCAGGGATTCCAGACGGTTTCAGGGAGTTGCTCTAGAATTAGGTGGCAGATGCAGTCGACGCTGTCTGAGTCCTGAGCGATGAGAGATGCAGCGGGGAAAGGAGGACCCAGCTGTGCTGCTGCCCTCTGTGTGTCCTCATTTTGAGATGCCGTCCACTGATGGCACCCCCGTGTCCCTCTCTCCCTGGGGCCTGGTAGCCCCCTCTGAATTCTGTCCCTAGGATCTGACCTCTGTAGGAACTTCTGTGAGTGCAGTTGTATGGTGGTTTCCCTTGTGACTCGCCACTCAGTGCTCACCACAAGGCTCATTCACATGGCAACAGATGTCAGAATTCCCTTCCTCTTCGAGGCTGAGTGATGACATTCTGCTGTGTGAGCTGCCACACTGTTCATCCATGATCTCTTTTGGATACTTAATTTGCTTCCACTTATTGGCTGTTGCGAATGGTGCTGTTAATGTGGATGTATAAATCCCGTGTTTGCTTTTAATGGGAGAACTTTTGTAGGGAGTGAGTCGTCACCCCGAGGACACTGGCTTTCTGTGGGTGGTTTTGCAGGGCCAGGCTGGGGAGCACTCCTTGGATCTCAGGGTATACGCCCAGAGGTGCTAAGTGCAGCTAGGACTGATGTGGCAGGCTGGGCAGTTCTGACATTCATGCCTGGGTGTGTATTGCATCAGTCTCCTCTCTTTGTTCATGCCTCAAGGGGACACATGCTTAGGGTGGTGCTGCCCATCTGCTCACCCCTTTCCCTTCTGTGTCCCTCGCAGCACTCCTGGCCACAGAGAGGAGCCCTACCTCACAGAGGCAGGACGTGACGCTTTTGACAGGTTCTGCAGGCTCCGCCAAGAGGAACTGCAGGTGCTCAGCGGCAGCCTCCTGCAAGCCCCGCGGCCCATGATGGTGACAGAACAGGAGTTGGTGAAGGACTCACTCAATGTCCTGCTTGGAGTGGCATCAGCTACATTCTCCCTTTGCCAGGTAAGGAACTGGGGCCCAGTCACACACAGTCACCTCTCTGGATTCTAAAGTGTTTATTAACTTCCTTTTACAGACTGACCCACAGTGAGATTTTTACTGATTCAGTGACAGTGGAAACGGTACTTCCTTCTGTGCCGCTCCTATTCTGGGTGCCTTATCTGGGCACGTGGATATTCAGTTATCCAGCTCCATTGCTTGTGAAGACTGTTCTGGCTTGGCAAGGTGATGCATGCCTATAGTCCCAGCACTTGGGGGCTGGGGCAGGATTGCCATGAGTTCAAGGCCAGCTTGGGCTACACAGTGAGACCCTGTTTCCAACAAACAGAAAAAGATAAAGAAAAAGCAGCACCATCCTGATTCCCTGAAGGGTCTTACCCTCTTAGAAAGTTAGTTGACTGTAAAGGTGAATGTTTTTGGACTCAGGATCCTATTCCCATTCTGTGTCTTGCATTGTTACTGATGAGCAAATGGTGCAGGGGCCCTGAGGCACCCAGCCCTGCGGGTTTTTTTCACTTTCCTGCCTTGAGATTGCCGAGGAGTTTTAAAATAGGTCTTTATTTTTCTTTCAAATGTCCTCAGTGAGCTGGAGATACAGCTCAGTGGCACAGCACCTGCCTGGTAAGTGCAAGGTGGTGAGTTCATTTTAGAGTTTGACAGGAATTGCACTGAATCTCTAGTATTACTGCTACTTTTCCAATACTAGTCTTTTCAATCCATGAACATTTATTTAGTTTAGATTCTTTTCACCGTTTCTACAATGTTTTGAAGTTTCTTTTTTTGTTTTTGTTTTTGGTCTGGGGATTGAACCCAGGGCATTGTACATGCTAGGCACATAGTCTACCACTGAGCTACATCCCCAACCCTTTTTATTCTGAGGGTCTCTAAGTTGTTAGGTTGGCCTTGAGTTAGCAATCCTCCTGCCTCAGCTTCTCAGGTATCTGGGATTACAAGCATGTACCATTGTACCACACAATGTTTTTTAGTTTTCATTGTACAAAGTGTAGTGAAAAGTATTTACTATTTATTTATTTATTTGGAGACAGTCCTGGGTCTTGAACTCATTATGTAGCCCAGGCTGGCTGGGAACTTGCATTGATCCTTCTGCTCTACCTCCTAAATGCTGGGATTGCAAGTGTGAACTGCTACATCTGGCAGTATTTTACTTTCTTGCCTAAATTTATTCCTAATTATTTCATTCTTTCATTGATATTGTAAATGGAATTGTTTTCTTAATTTCTTTCAATGTTTTTTATTGCTCGTATATAGAAATGTAGCTTTTTTTTTTGTTTTTTATTTTTTTGAGACAGGGTCTCAGTATGTAGTTCAAGCTGGTCTTAAACTCTTTGAGTAGCCCAATCTGGCCTCGAACTTGTGATCGTCCTGCCTCAACCTCCTGAGTACTGATCTATTGTTTTTTTTTTTTTTTTTTTTTTTTTTTTTTGTGCGTGTGTACCAGGATTGAACTTGCGACCTTGCGCTTGTCAGGCAGGCACTTACCCGCTAAGCTAAATCCCCAGCCATTCTGAATTTTTTTTTTGTACCGGGGATTGAACTCATGACCTAGCGCTTACCATATAGGCACTTATGCTGCTGAGCTAAATCCTTGGCTCTGAGTGCTGAGATTACAAGTGTGCACCTGTATGCCCAACTGTGTGCTGATTTTGAATCTGTAACTCTGCTGAATTTATTAGCTCTGAAGACTTTTGTAGATTCTAGAGGGTGTTTTGTATAAGATGATATCATCTAAAAACAAGTAATTCTGCTCCTTGTTTTCCAGTTTGGATAACTTTTATTATTATTATTATTATTATTATTATTATTATTATTATTTCTTCTGTGTTGGGGATAGGGAACCAGGGTACTGTGTGTGCTGGGTGAATGTTCTACCACTGAGCCACATACCCTTGTTAGGTATTTCCTTACATTTTATTTTTGTACAATCAGTTGAATTGTCCCCACTTTGACTTTTGATGTTAGTAAACTGAATTTGCTTTTATTCATAGTCATTTTCAAAAAATAAGTATATTTGGTACATTTTAGTTACACATAGTGATCATATTCATTGTAGGGAATTAGTACCCGTATGTGATATAGTTTGTCATTTTTTTTTTCTTACTCTAGCTAAATGTTCGTTAGTTCATTAATCTTTCCAGAGACCTAGTTTTTAGGGCCAGGTATAGCTTATTAGTAGAGCCCAGCATGTGTGAGGCCCTGGATCCAGCCGCCAGCACGGGAAGAGAGAGAGATTGGGAGGAGGGGAGGGAGGAAGAAGCCAGCTTTGGCTTCATTGGATTCTGTTGCGTTTCCATTCTCTGGTCTCTGATATAATCTGTGCTATTTCTTTCCTTCTGCTTGTTTTGGGGTTAATTGCTTTCCACGGTTGATGTGACATTGCTTTCTCAGTGGAACCTGTTAACAGCCATCCTTTCTGAAATCACACGATTCTACTGAACCCATAGATGGGTTGTCCTGCGTGTTTTAGAGGAGCTATGAGCGGTGCTGGGGTGACATGTTGTGACAAGTCTTTGGATACTTCACTGTTTCTTTGGACATGTCCCCAAGAGCTGAAGTGTTAGACCTAGCAGCGAATCTGCTTTCATAGGGTCTGTGCCCAGGGAGGTTTGTCTGTGTGTCCTGTGTCGGGAGGAAGTAGTTGTTGGAAGTGTCTGTTTTCTTACATCTGCTCCACAGCGGCAGCAGTGTTCCTGTGTACCTTCCTCCAGGGTGTCTTTTAATTTTTTTATTATTTTTTTTTTTGGTCTTTTTCCTTTGTTATCGGTACCAGGGATCAAACTCACGACTGCCTGCTTGCAAGGAAGGCGCTTATGCCGCTGAGCTAAATCCCCAGCCCCCAGGGTGTCTTTTTATTCAGAATGAGGCTCTTTGGGGTACGCTTTCGAGGCCTTTGCCTTCTGCTCATGGCACTTCCTGCTGTGAATCTTGGAGGACTGGGTGGCAGCCTGCTGGGGTCAGATGCCTCCTGTGTAACCCTCTCTCTGCCCATAGTCTACTCAAGCCTTTGTAGTGGCGCAAGGTGTCCACGTGTCTGGCGCCTCCCCTGAGAGCATCAGCAGCATCCTGTCAGAGGTGGCAGCGTATGGGACCTGTTACACGCGCCTCAGCCACTTCTCCTTGCAGCCTGCCCTGGGCGCCTCGTGTGGCAGGGGCCTGGTGTTCCAGGTATGCCTCTGCTGGCATCTGGGGTGGGGGCTGGTGGGACAGCGTTGTGGGGGCCTGGGCCTGTCTTCTTGGCCCATGTCCTCCTGTGCTGTGACTGCAGAGTGGCAGCAGCACTGCTGATCTAGCAGTGTGCCCGCCTCGGCCCTCACCTACAGGCCTTCACCAGCGGCCTGCGCAGGTACCTGCAGTACTATGGGGCCTGCGTCCTCGCCACCCCATCCACCCTGAGCCTCCTCACCATCGGTTTTCTCTTCAAAAAGCTGGGCCGGCAGCTCCGGTGAGTCTTGGTGTAGGGCTTGAGTCAGGTCTGGAGGCAGGCATGGTCTGCTGGAGCCCAGGGGCCTTTTGAGCCACTCACGCCCCTTGCATGGTGCAGCCCTGCCTGGCCTAGGCCCCAGCTTGAGGGGTTTGTGGATGTGGCCTCAGCCCTATTGTAAACAGGACTGTCAGAGGAGAGGAGAAGGGCAGAGGCCAGGGGGAGTTCGTATTCCAGGCAGCATGGGGACCTGCAGCTGAGGTTGGGGTCCGGCGCAACATGAGGGTGTCTGGCCTGAAGTCAGTCCCTTGGGGAGTGTGAAGATGTGCAGGGGCTTTGCCCATTGGTCTGGTCCAGCCTGAGGGCCCTACACCCAGCACCTGTGATCTGCCCTTTGGTCTAGGTACCTAGCTGAGCTCTGTGGCATTGGTGCCATACTCCCAGGGGCTGGCGGAGGAGAGCCCAAGGCTTCGTTCCCCACTGTGAGTAGTTTGCATCCCTGCAGATTGTGCTGGCTGCCTGCAGGGCAGCATCCATGCAGGGCTTCGCAGTGACCTGCCCTTCACCTCTGCAGGGTGTGAGGCTGCTGTCCTACCTCTACCAGGAGGCACTGGACAACTGCAGCAATGAACACTACCCCGTGCTGCTGTCCCTGCTGAAGACCAGCTGCGAGCCCTACACTCGGTCAGTGCCTGGCCGTGTGGCCACACAGGGCCTCACCCTGGGCAGCCTGGGGGGCATCCTACCCACCTCACTCGCCCCACTGTGAGGCAGGTTCATCCACGACTGGGTGTACAGTGGAGTCTTTAGAGATGTCTACGGGGAGTTCATGATCCAGGTGAACGACGAGTACCTGGGCTGCAGAGGTGAGTGGCCATGGCCACGGGGGGGTAGCCTGGCACCTGGGAGCTGGGAGACAGTGTCTGCAGGCCCCGTGTGTCTTGCCCTGTGTAGACAAGTCTTACTGGACCCACGGATACGTGCTCATTTCCAAAGATGTGGAGGACTGTGTCCCTGTGTTCCTGCGGCACGTGGCGCATGACGTTTATGTCTGTGGGAAAACCATCAACCTGCTGAAGCTCTGCTGTCCCCAGGTGAGACACCAGCCAGGGCAGTGGAGACCAGGCCGTCCAGGGTTGGTGGTGGCTGGGGGCAGCATGATGGCTCTGCATGGGGGATGGGAGGCTCCATGGGCCTTCTCCAGCTCCACTGAAGGGTCTCCTGTGGCAATCTGGCATTGGCCCAGCCAACAGCCCCTGGGGAGAGGCTCATGTGGACGGGGGCTGTTTGCTGTCCCTCACATTGGGATACTTGCTCCTCATCACTGATGAAGGTGATGCCGCTGTATGGTTAGGGATGCTTGGTTTTTGGTTTATTGTCCTGTGTCACTGTGCCCCAGCCCTACCTTTTTTTGCTTCTGCAAACACTCACTGCAGCCCCTCCCTGGCAGCACTACCTCTGCTGGTCAGACATCCCCGTCCCGCGCATCTCGGTGATTTTCTCCCTTGAGGAGCTGAAGGAGGTGGAGAAGGACTGCGCAGTCTATGTGGGCCGCATGGAGCGAGTGGCCCACCACAGCTGCATTAGCAAGGAGGAGAAGGTGCTTTGACACAGGCCTTGGGCTGGCTGGGGTAGGGGCTCCAGGCACTCTACAATGTGCAGGTGGGGACCTCGGCTACGTCAGAAATGCGCCCTGGAGCCAGGTGCTCAGGGCAGGGGCTGTTTTCCTTTTCCCTGGGTTGGTGGCTTTGCCTACTGTGCAGCTCCTTGGTGGCTTCCCAGTGCCCCTGGCTGTGGACAAGACAGACCAGCTCAAGGGGTAGCAGCCCTGGGACACCCACATTCAGGTGGCCTCCCCTCCTGCTCAAAAATGGCTAGAGTGGGACCATTGGGGTCCAGCATACTCTGGGAGAGGATGGATGGCAGATCAGTGCTATTTCTGGGTAAACCCTCCTGGCCTGGCTTTGTGGGGAGGGGGGAAACATGGAGTCCCCTCTCCAAACCCCTTTGTCCTCCCTGGGCATAAGTTAGGGGCAGGGCCTCTAACCACTGCGTAAGGTGCTTAGAGCCAAACACTTTCATGATCTGGCTCTGCCCTCTCACAGTGGGATGGGAGCAAGGGTCATTGCACCTGCTGACCCTGGTCAATGTAGTCCCTCTCCAGCACTGAGGGTGGGGGGGGGAGAATTGGATGCTTTGTCTGTTGGCTTACTTTTAGGAATTACGTATGGAAATTGCAAAACAAGAATTAATTGCCCATGCCAGGGAGGCGGCTTCCAGGGTCCTTCGTGAACTCAGTGGTGAGCATGGCTCCACGTTCTCTGTTGCGGTTCTGGGGCCCTGTTGGAGCTCCCCTGACCGTGCCCCTCCCCTGCCTAATGCAGACCGGCAAACCTCTGAACAGATGGCCTTGGATGCCCGGAAGCGAGAACAGTTCCAGCAGCTAAAGGAACAGTTTGTTAAGGACCAGGAGGTGGGTGGGCCTGACCTCTGGGACTTCTGGCTTCCAAAGTCTGCATTTAGCCAACAACACTGTGTGTATTCTTTAGCGGCGCCTGGCAGCCAGACAGGAGGAACTAGATGAGGACTTCAGCTATGCCCGTGAGCTCCGGGACAGGGAAAAGAGGCTGCAGGCACTGGAGGAGGAGCTGGAGAAGAAGGCCAGGTGCGGCTTGGCAGGCCCCAGGCTGGCTTGGGCTTAGTGATGGTCAGTTTGCTTCCTGTTTTGAAACACTGCAGGCACGTGCCAAGCTAGATAGGCAGGTGTAGTGAGTGGTTAGGGCCGTATTGTACCTGTGGGCTTCCTCGCTGACCTTGAGGGTCCTTGTAGACTTGGGTCCAGGCAAGGTGCACACACTGTGATGCTGTCTTGTCTCTTCATTTATTTTGGTCTTTTTTCAGACAGGGTGTTGCTCTGCAGTTCAGGCTGGCTTTCACCTTGAACTCACTTTATAGCCTAGGCTGGCCCAAACTCACTCCCAAGTGCTAGGATTACAGACCTGCACCACCATGCCTCGCTGTCATTTGTCTTAATTATTTTTTGGTTTTTTGAGACAGAAGTCTTGCTGTGCAGTTCAGGCTGACCTTGAACTCATGGCAGTCCTCCTGCCTTAGCCTCCCAAGTGCTGGGATTACAGGTTTGCACCGCCATGCCCCTCTTCATTTGTCTTAATTATAAATAGTTTCTGCTTGTTTTAAATATCTGCTAGTGTAACATCCAGCAGAGGTGGTCCACCTGCCTAGGAGAGCTCCTGGGAGTCAATCTCCTTGTGGTAGCTTCTTCCCTACAGTGGGGTTTCACAGTTTTAATGGGAGCCCTTCCTAGGAGGGTGGCCTCCTCCTGACTGGTAGGCAATGTCCCACTGTACCAGCCTTAGATGCTACTCATAGTCCAGGCGGGGTTGCACCTTGGGGTTGTGTCAAGTGTGCCTGTGCCCATGTGAGCAGCATCTGTGGAGGAACTGGGTCCAGAGACCGTGTTCTTCGCTTATGGTGGCCAAATTGGAGATAGCCACTTCTTTTTGGGCCCAGCTGCCTGCCAGTGGGAGGCCCAGGCCCCTGAGTCTGTGCCGGTTCTTCCCTGGGCTCTTTGCGCGTAAGTCTGCAGCCCTTTGGTGTCTGGGTGAGGCAGTGCCTGCTCAGGTGAGGCCCGCTAATATTTGTGGGGCAGATGTTTGCCTCCGCCTGACTGAGCAACAGCCTGCCACAGCCTCTTGGTCTAGAGGAGTGGAAAGACCCTCCCACCCCGTGAGGCAAGAGCCTTTGAGTAAGGGAAGTCAGGGCCAGAACCAGATTGCCTGGGCGCCTGCTGGATGGTGCAGGGGATGGTGGTGACCATGTCCTCTGGTGATTGTAGGCAGGCACTGGTGGACCATTACAGCAAGTTGTCTGCAGAGGCAGCGCGTCGGGAGCAGAAGGCCCTGTGGAGAGTCCAGAGGCACCGGCTGGAAAGTGCAAGACTCCGTTTCCTTCTGGAGGAGGAAAAGTGCCTTCAGGTACTGCAGCATATCAGAGTGGTTCCCTGCCCCTGCATGCAGACCCTACTTCTGGCACAGGGGCATAGTCACCTGCAGGTGCTGTGTAGGAGTCTGGTGCTGACGGAGTCCTGTGTGGTGGGAGTGGGGTGCTGTGTGGAGGCTGAGTGCCAGGGGTCAGTGTTGCAGTCACTCTCCAAAGCCTTCCCCTTGTCCTGCTGGATTGTGTTTCAGGAGATGCTGAGAGACCTGTCAGAAGTTCGCCACCCGCTGGAGCCACCGGGTGTCCTTCCGCTTGCATGCTCTGAGGTAAGGGTCTGCCACAGAATCTTGGGCTCTGAGCAGGATGCTCCTGGCCTAGATGTCCCCATGTCCTTCGGCACATGGTGGGCAGAGTCATTTTTGCAGGGTTACGTGGCCAAAGGGAAAAGGAGACCAGATTGCATTTCCATTTCAGGACCTGTCTGGAAGCCTGGAGCACTCAGACGGAGGCCAGACCTGTGATCTAGGGTTCCCGGAGCAGCCTGGGGATTGCAGGGGCGGGCTGAATGTGCTAGCGCCACAGCCCCTACAGTCTCCAGCAGCAGGGGCTGGGCCATTCTCTGCTGGCCTCAGCATTGTGGACTTCCTGCCTACAGACTCAAGGGCTGAGCAGCCTGAGCAGGATGGGACCCCCCTACTGGATCAGGCACTGCAGACCATCTGCTCAGATCTGCTGCCCTCATCCACGACAGAGGCACCCTCGGCAGAGGAGACTCTGCCTGCCCAGCCACAGGAATATGATTTTAGTACCATTCTGAGGCCAGCTGTGACTGCCGCACTGTCCCTAGGGCCTCTGCAGGCTGTCAGGGACAGTGAGGAGCAGCAGCTGTGTGTCAACACACGCGGGAGGCCAGATGAGTGTGGGCCAGACATACACCGGCCTCTTTGTCTGCCACACCCGCTCACACACAGACACGGTACAGCCCAAGAGGCCAACAGCCAGATCCCTGGGGGGTTCCTTGCGCCCACATTGGGTGCAGCTGCTCCGACAGAAGGCCGTGCTACTGAAACAGCTGCTTCTCAGCCAGGCTGGAACATCCATGGTCATGTCTCGGACTCCAGTATCCAAATCGGAGAGAATGTGTCGGACGTGGCTGCCTCCCGGCCACGCTGGAACATCCACGGCCATGTGTCTGATGCCAGCATCCGAGTCGGAGAGAATATGTCAGATGTGGCCACCTCCCGGCCACGCTGGAACATCCATGGCCATGTCTCGGACTCCAGTATCCAAATCGGAGAGAATGTGTCGGATGTGGCTGCCTCCTGGCCACGCTGGAACATCCATGGCCATGTGTCTGATGCCAGCATCCGAGTTGGAGAGAATATGTCAGATGTTGCCACCTCCCGGCCACGCTGGAACATCCATGGCCATGTGTCTGATGCTAGTATCCAAATTGGGGAGAATGTATCAGCTGTGGCTTCCTCCCAGCCAAGCTGGGGTGGCCACACCACTCAGCCTTTTTTTCTAGAAGCTAAGTCAAACCCCCCTAGGCTACCCTGCAGCCTTCCTGGCCAGGGGTCCTGGCCAGGCACCCCGAAAGTGGAGAGCTCTGCCCTGGAATGTGGGCCATCGATCTCTGCTGAGGTGGATCCTGCCACCCACTGCCCTGGAGCAGGCAGTTGGGAGGACAGCAGTCTGCAGGCCACGTCCTGTGCTATAGCCGAGCCCGGCACTGTGGGAGACAGCGTCTCTGAGCAGCCAGGTGAGGGAGCAGCCTGTGGTGGTGGGGTGCCTGGAGCTGCCCATGTACTCCTTGGCTTTGGGAGCCCAGACTGCTGTCTGCTACTTGGGCTGGCACTGTGTTGTTATCCTGTAGCACGATGCCCCTCACGCCTGTTTGTGTATCCGCAGGCCCAGGGAGGAATGGGGACACAGAGGATCTGTCTGCATGCCAGCCTGGGGATTCACAGGTCAGGGTGGACGAGGCCTGAGGGTCACGTTGGGGGGCCCGGGAGTGTGCTGGGGAGCCATGCATTAAGGCCAGCTTCTTTAGGACACAGCCACCCCAGGGCAGCCCAGCCCTGGGGAGGGGGAGGTGGAGGTGGATGCGGAGGCAGAGGCGGAGGCCCGGCGTTGGGGTGAGGAGCAGGCCTACCTGGCCAGCCTGGCGAGGCTGTACCCCCTGGAGCAGTACCCAGACAGCTACGAGGCTATGTGTGAGTTGGGGCACAGTGGGCAGGTTCCTTGGCTAGTGCTTCCCTGAGCCACAAGTGTTGTCTTTGTTTCACAGCAGAGCCTCCTGTCACCCACCTTGTCCATCACGTGCTGCCCTGGGCCTTCACATTCCCCATGGGCCTTCAGGCCCAGCCAGCAGTGGATGAGACTGCAGTGCAGCTGAGCGAGCTGCTGACTTTGCCTGTGCTCATGAAGCGCTCCCTCACGGCCCCGCTGGCTGCCCAGTGAGTCCCCACCACGCCCCAGCCCCCCGAACCCCAGACCCCGGCCCCCAGCCCCCTCTGACTGCAGGCCCCTCCTGCCAGTGTCTCCCTGGTAAATAAGGCTGCAGTGGACTTCTTCTTTGTGGAGTTGCACCTGGAGTCACACTTCGAGGCACTGCGGCACTTTGTACTGATGGAGGATGGGGAGTTCGCCCAGTCCCTTAGCGATCTGCTCTTTGAGAAGGTGACCTTGGCAGTTAGGGTGGGGACAGTGGGTGAGGGGACAGAGGCAGGGCACAGGGTAGGTCTTGGGACACGTGTTTCTTTCCTGCCCAGCTTGCAGCTGGGCAGACACCAGGGGAGTTGCTCAGCCCACTGGCCCTCAATGGCATCCTGAGCAAGGCCCTGCAGTGCAGCCTCCACGGGGACTCGCCGCATGCTGCTGGACTCTCCTTTGCCCTCAAGCACCTGCCTGAAGTCTTTGCCCCCAACACACCAGATGTGCTGAGCTGCCTGGAGCTCAGGTACAAGGTCAGCAGCTCTGTCTGGGGCTGGCGGGAGCCCATGTGCGGGCAGGTGCTGATCGGGGCTTTCTGGATAGGTGGACTGGCCACTCAACATTGTCATCACCGAGAGCTGCCTGAGCAAGTACAGTGCCATCTTCTCATTCCTGCTGCAGCTGAAACTCATGATGTGGACACTTAAGGACATCTGCTTCCACCTGAAGCGCACAGGTGAGGCCATGGGACACCTGTTATCCCCAACCCCCCACCCCATGTGCACCTGTGGCCCTGGCTGCCCCTCACTTGACCCCTGCCCTCTGTCCAGCCCTGGTGAGCCATTCTGCTGGCTCAGTGCAGTTCCGCCAGCTGCAGTTGTTCAAGCATGAAATGCAGCACTTCGTGAAGGTCACCCAGGGCTACATTGCCAATCAGATCCTACATGTCAGCTGGTGCGAGTTCAGGGCCCGGCTGGCCACAGTGAGTGACCTGGAGGAGATCCAGCGTGCCCACGCTGAGTACCTGCACAAGGCTGTCTTTAGGTGGGGCGTGGCTGTGGGAAGCCTGGTGCGGGGGAGCGTGGGGGCTGTGAGACATCAGAGTGGGGCAGCTCACCATGCCCTTGCCTGCCTCAGGGGTCTGCTGACGGAGAAGGCGGCGCCCGTCATGAATATCATCCATAGCATCTTCAGCCTGGTGCTCAAGTTCCGCAGCCAGCTCATCTCCCAGGCCTGGGCCCCGGCCAGTGGCCCCCTGGGGACAGAGCACCCTAACTTCGCCCTTATGCAGCAGTCCTATAACACCTTCAAGTACTACTCCCACTTCCTCTTCAAAGGTGAGCCTCAGAGGAGTGGGTGGGCTGGTGGCAGGGTCAGGGTACAGAGCTGAGCAGCCCTCTGCCCTCCAGTGGTGACCAAACTGGTGAACCGAGGCTACCAGCCCCACCTGGAGGACTTCCTGCTACGCATCAATTTCAACAGCTACTACCAGGATGCCTGAGCAGCTCCTAGAGGGAGTGCACAAGAAGGACCATGGATGGGCAGAGGAAGCTGCTGCTTTATTCAGAGGCCTGTCCCCCAGGGCAAAGGGGATGGGGTGGCCTGGCTCTCTGCTATTCACAAGCACTTGGCAGGGCCTTTGTCCTTGTGGCTGCCAGGCCAGAGCAGCACTGTTGAGCTTGCGTCAGACAGAGACAGGTCAGAGCCTGACTGGACGTCTCTGCTGTCATGGAGAGCACAGGGCTGCAGGCTCAGCAGCTCAGCAGTGCTACAGCCTGGGAAGACCCCTGCGGCATGGAGGCCGCTACGAAGATCAGGTCACACAGAGCTCGGCTGCCCAGAGAGGGGGCTTGCTGCTGTAGGATGGCCGCCTGCTGGCCCCTGTGGCAGCCCCTTCAGGGCCTGCAACCTCCAGGGCTTCTGCATGCTCACCCTCATGCTGGTAAGGGGACTCCAGCAGCTTCAGCACCCGTCGCACCTAGGGGAAAACTGGCGTGAGGCACCAACTGCCACCGCCTGTCTCCAGCAGGAGCAGTGGCAGGGATAGGGGGCATGCTTACCTCTGAGAAGTCCCCATTCTCAGCAGCCTCAATGGCGTTCTGTGCGATGTAGTTCCGCAGGACATACTTGGGGTTGCTGCTGTGCATCACGTGTGTGTGTTTCACTTGCCATGCAGCAGTGTCACCAGCGTCCTCCCTGTCCTTGTCTAGCCGGGCTCTGGAATCATCCCAGACCCCTGTCAGGTGCTCTGGCCCAGCCCTGGCCCAGGGTTGGTGCCAGGACCCAGCCCTGCTCACCTGTAGTCCTGCAGCCAGGCAGCCCAGTGTGCACTGTTACGGCTCTGCAGCTCCTCGGAGGTCAGATGCTGCAGCCGAGACTGCTGTTCCACACGCTCCAGCTCTTTGGTGACATTGGCTTGGGTGCCAATAAGTGCAAAGAGCTGCGGGTTCGACTGGGCCAGCATTAGCATCATGGAGAGCTGGCTGCAGAGGGGTGGCGGCATCAGCCAGAGGTTGGTGGGTGAGGGGAGGTGAGTCCTGTGTGGTCACTGCCCCCACTAAAAATCCTTTCTGCACCACTGACCTGTGGCGTTTTTTCTGTCTCTCTCTGCATAGGGCACCATACCCTGTGGGGGTAGCTGGGAGGCACAGGCTACCTGGGCTTTGCGCCTGTTGTGGGGAGACCACCTCTCACCCACATATCAGCAGCCCTTTCCTCGATGGCCAGTGCGCCATTAGGACCAGATGCTCCACCCTGAGAGGGCACCTGTGTGGGCGTTACACTCCTTAATGCCTCCCTGTGGTCCTTCACCTTCCAATGTTTTATCTAAAAACCCCAAGGAGGTGAGGCCTGCTACGCACCGAGGGTCCATCTGGGGCCGAGAGGCGAGCCGCCGCTCTTCTAGGGAGGCACACTGTGAGGTCAGCGCAGTCAGGAACTCATCCAGGCCTGGTGCCTCTGGCTCAGCTGGGAAGGAGCTCAGCAAGCAGAAGGTGTTGGTGAAGTCGGCACCTGGAACACAGTGCGCTCAGCACAGAGGCTGGTGCCGCCCCTTCCCTCCACAGGTGCTGAGCCTGCCTGGTGGCCACTGCCCCTCCTATGACCTGCAGGGCCTCTGTGCAGCAGTTCACACAGACAGGGCTGAGGCTGCCCTGGCCCTCACCACTTGCTGGTAGGAGGACCCACGGCAACCCCTAAGGAAACATCTGAACGACAGACAGGTGGGAAGAGACTCCAAGTAGATGCTGCAAAAAATCAACTGAGCAAAGTCCATTGGAAGGTGAAGGGCCTGGGGAGGCAGTAAGGAGTGGAGGAAATGAGAGGTGAGCAAAAGGGGAAGGCATACAGAGAACAGGGAAGTGCCCAAGTACTTCTAAGCCAGTAATTTCTGTAGCAGTGAATGGACCCCTGACAGTCAAAAAGGCAGGTGGCAGAATGGGTCAAAGACAAGACCCTGTGCCAGGCGTGATGGTGCAAACTCACAATCCAGCACTCGGGAGGCTGAGGCAAGAGGATCACAAGAGTTAGGGTCATTGGGGCTGGGGATTTAGCTCAGCGGCATAAGTGCCGGCCTTGCAGGTGTGTGGTCGTGAGTTCAATTCCCTGGTACCGATAAAAAAAGAAAAAGACAAAAAAAAAAAAAAAAGAGTTAGGGTCATCTTGAACTACTATGTGGTGTGATCTTGTCCCAAAAACAAAACTCCCAAACCAAACAGCGACACCATGGTCCATGACCTGGAATACACACCAAAGCTGTCTCCAAAAGTATAAAGAGAAAAACCATGATCCTGCTACATTCTGTACTCTCTATAGGAGACTGGCTTCAGATGGGTCGCAAATGAAAGCAAGCAGCATGCAGTGCAGATAACATACTCCTTGTCACCTGAGCTGAGCTTGGTGATACCTGAGCCAGCCGAGAATAAAAACTGCCTAGCATGCCCAAGTGTAGGGGCGTGATGTAGAGATAAGGACATCACACAGTGACAGCCAGTTCATCAATAAGGATGTAGCACAGCTGGCATTCCGGTAACCCCAGCACTCGAGGAAGCTGAGGCAGGTGGACTGTAACACTGAGCCCAGCCCAGGCAACTGTGACACTGGGCTCCAAATAACAAGATGATAAGCACGAGGATGTAGTTCAGTGTGTGGGTTAGGGTTCAACCCCTAGTACAACGGAAAACAAATATGAAATACATGAACCCAACAGCAGTTCCCTGAACACAGCACAGAGCACAGAACTAAAGAAGAGCTGCTAAGAAGGGCTGAAGAGCTGAAGACCTTAATGTGCTGCTTTCAACACTGGACAAAGCACCCGGGCAGATCAATAAAGAAACAGGACCTGAACAATAATCCAATGAGACCAGAGACCGTGGCCAGCATTCTTGGTGTATAGGTCACAGCATTCTTGGTGTATACAGGGTCTTATTCCAGGACACACTGGAGCAAGTCAGTAAAAAAGATTGGTATATTCGCCAGCCACAATGGAATAAGGTTAGAAATTACTTAAAATTATGCACACTTGATGGGCTATGGTGGTACATGCCTATATTTCCATTACGCAGGAGGCTGAGGCAGGAGGATCACCTCTGAGTTTGATGCCAACCTGGATTATAGTTGTAAAGACCAGACTATATAACCAGACCCCATCTTGAGAAAAAAAAAAAAAAAATCCCGAGTACTGCCAAAGAAGATCCACAGAGTAAACTGTGTGTTTCCACAGTGAATGCAGGGTGAGTGCATGCATGCCTCGCTCACCAGTCAGATGCATGGTTTCCAGGAGCTTGGCTACCAGCGCGCCATCCTCCTCTCGCTCGCCCTGCACAAGGCCCAACTTCCTACGCATCTTCTGCAGGTAGTGCTTCTGGAACTCGGTGTCGAACTCCTCGGCCACAATAGTTTCGCCCAGAGCAAGGGGCAGCTCAGGCTCCAGTGCCTCAGCCAGCTTCTGCAGGTTCCACTTGCATACCTCAGGCTGCTTGCTGTAGGTATAGCGTCCAGCGTTGTCTGAGGCATTGCACACGTGGTCTGGATCGTACCTGTCACAAGGCAAGGGGTGCAGTTCCATTGGGACATGCCAAGGGCAGTGCCTGCGCAGTCACCATCCTGCTGTCCTGTCCTTCCAGTCCCAGGCTGAGGGCCCTCATGACCCTAACTCTACCTCCAGAGCTGGAGAAGCAGCGTTCCTCCACTCACCTATGAAACGACCCTTTCTAAAATGCTAACACAACTGGGTGCACACTCCTGTAACTGCAATTATGTGGGAGGCTGATGCAGAGGGATCACATGTTCCAGGCCACCCCACACAACTTAAGTGACTTAGCAAGACCCTGCTTCAAAATGAAGGGCTAGGGACACAGCCATGCAGGGCAGTGTTCCTGGGCTCAATCCCTAGTACTACAGATTAACCCACTGAAGGGAGTAAATGCAATGCTAAGATAGCTCACAGTGCTTTGCTTGCGCCCCAGGGCATTTCTGCTCCAGGAAGAGCTGGACTATGCTGCTAAGAACACTCAGGACAGTGTGGGCAGCAGCTGTGCTCACCCCAGTCGGAGGCACCTGCCTCTCCCCCACCGCCCCCGCAAGCTCATGCTGCCATGTCACTGCTGCTCAGGGCCACTCGCCTGTCCAGGAAGCCAAAGGGCCCATAGTCGATGGTCAGCCCCACGATGCTCATGTTGTCAGTGTTCAGAACACCATGGCAGAAGCCCACACACTGCCACTCGGCCACCATCCGGGCTGTGCGTCGTGTGACCTGGGGCAGGATAAGCGCTTAGTACTCTGCATGTGCATCCCCAAAGCCAGTGATGCCACTTGGCCATCCTTGCCAGGGCCGTTGTGAGCTTTGGCAGGGACCTCCCTGTGTAGGAGTTGAGGAGCTTGGGTACGTGGCTCTTGCTCCTGCATACACCTCAGGCCCAGGTGAGACCTCATGGGAGCCTGCAGGAATCCACAACACTGCCTGACGCTCTACCGTTTCCATGCGACCACTCTGTTCCCCACCCGTCCCAGCAGTTGAGCATCTGGCTTCAGTCACCCTGAGAATGAGACCCAGGTTACAGGGCCCCCCCCATACATAGCCACAAGTATGCCACTGTGCATGGGCTGAGCAGCCTCCATGCCCATCTCCTGGCCCCTGCAGTTCTACCCCACACCACCACATGGTATGTGTCCGAGCTGGGACGCTAGCAGCTGCTGCAAGATGGAGCCCCAGATACCAGCTCAGTGCCCACGTCTCAGCAGTCTGGGTCTGCCCCACTGCAGCCACCCCTTGGCACTCCACCTCCTCCTTGAAAGGCCTTTGCCTATTCCACACCCTAGGCCCTTAAGTGCTGCAGGCATCAGCCAGGCCACATGAGGCCCAGGCCTCCTGTATGCTGGATGTGATGAGATCATATTGCCAGGTCACATGTTAGCACTGCACCATCTGGACGCAGGCAGGGTCAGGTCTGACAGTCCTGGGGCAGACAAAAACCCCAGTAGGGGTGGCCTGAGTCACCCCAAAATCCATCAGCACTGATCAACAGGAGGCACCAGCACTAGCAAGGGCTCCTGCTCCAGCCTGTCCCTGCAGACACCCTTGCTGATGCTGGGGAGACTGGCACAGCCCTCTGGCCACTGCCTTCATGGCATTACCAGGCCTCTGAATGTTCAAATCCGGCAGTGTGCTTGCTGGGCCCCACCATGAAGCTACGGTAGTGACAGGCCCAGGAACAGTAGGGCCACTGGGTAGGAGCCTTCACCCACTGGCCAGAACAGCTATATCCAGCAGGCTGGCTGCGCTGGCCACAGAGGCCATGTGGCCTCCACCCACCTCCCGGAAGAAGGCAGCGTTCCTTGGCACTCGGTCACTGTCACAGGCGTGGGCAGCCTGGATTTCAGGGTAGAAAGAGCTGATCACATAATCAAGCAGCTGGATTCGGATGTCATTCCGCTGCACGCTGGGGCCCGCGCGCCCTGTGTACTCATCAGCCGGCTTAAAGATCTCAAAGGAGCCAAACCTGGAGGGGAGACCCAGGTGTTGAACAGGTCAGACGCACCCAGCCCCTGTGAAGACAAGGAGAGAAAGCGGCTGTGGGAGACCTTGCGGCCCACGGCAGACAGCATCTAGTTGGACAGTGACCATTGCCAGACAGGGCTTGTGGGGTGTTGGGGCTCAGAAACCATCACAGCTATTTCCTGCACCTGAACTCCTAATGGGACCAGCACATGGCCAACATGGTTTTCAATGGGGCAGCTTTCCCTCAGGGTTTGGCAGGCATCTGGGGACATGTCTGACAGTCATGACTGGGGTTGCCACTGGCAACAAGTGGACAGTGGTTGGTGACAGGCATCATCCAAGACACAGGACATATTCACCCAGTGTCACAGATCTGCATGTCCAAGGACACCACAGAGTAAGGTGAGTTTGGCTCTGGCTCCTTCCACTGCCCCAGGAGTCAGAAGCCAGAGACAGTCACAGCCTGTCACAGCTGTAAGCAGCTGGTGGTCATCCGGGGCCTGGCGACGACAGGTGAGCCACAGCCCAACCCAGTCCTCCTGATTGCTCTGGGTCCAGCGAGCTGTTGGGAGTCACTGAAGGTGGAAACTGACCACACATTCAGGGCTGTGGCATGGCCATCCCAACAACGAAGAGCGCCTGGATCGGCCACCTGAAGAAGTTGCTTCAGCCCAGAAAAACACCAAGCCCCTACATAATCTAAGCAATGGGGTTGAAACGGGTAACATCCTTTGGAGGATATAAATAAACGTACTACCGTGGTGGAGCAGCTCCCTTTCCTCCCATCAGGAGGATAAGGGCTCTACCTGACTCCACCTTCATCTCTTCATTTTCTCCGCTCTTGGTCCTTCACCCCAAGAACCTCAAGAGCCACACTGGTCACGGCAGGGAACCAGTTCTGAAAACGTTGGATTCCAGATGGCAGAGACGGGAGCAGGCAGAAAGGACAGCAGATAAGGAGCCTAGACCACCTAGGACCAGGGACCAGGGGCACAGATGTACACTCATGACGATGCTGCAGAGGCCATTTCCTGGCCATTGCCAGGTGGTTCCTTGTCATGAACTCTGCCCATGCACCTTCCTGAGTCCTTCTGTGTGGCAGCCCCTCCCAGGAAACCACCAGGGTTCCATTCGAGCTGGCCTGCCTGGTCCAATCCCAGTGTCACTTCCGGCTGTACCACAGAACAGAATAGAGGCAGGAACTCCTGCACCAAGGTCTCCCCTGGGTGGTGATGTATCTACTCTGTGGACAGGCTGGACCTTCTGAGAGGCCAGGGGCCGGTCCTGGCACTGTCACCTTGTGAATGTGCGCTGTGGACATCCCAAGTCTCCCAGCCTCTGTGAGCAAGCACATTTAGACGGGCCTTGCAGAGCCAGCGTTACCTTATGAAGGTGGGAGCTATGCGCAACACAACCGTGCACTTCTCGTATTTTGGATTACCATCATAGAACACGTCTCGCACCACTGTGGACTCGGATGTCACACAGGCTCCAGCCCGAGTGGTGGGAATTCCCAAATGGAACATGGCCTCGCTGCACAGGAACTCCCGGATGCTCGACCTCAGGACTTTGCGACCATCGGCCTGTCTGAAGTCAAACACAAGAGGTCGCTGTGCCATCAGGCACTTTCCCCCCAAAGGAAGAAGTACAGCTTTTTAGGATGAAAATAGTTTCCTCCCCTGAATTGGGGACTGAGCTCTAGCATGCTGTGTAAGTACTCTACCACTGAGCTACATCCCCAGCCCTTTTATTTTTTGAGACAGTCTTGCTAAGTTGTCTGAGCTGAGCTTGGATTCATTATCTTCTTGCCTCAGCCTTTCCATAATGGTGGGATCACAGGAAAGTGAGACACTGCCTCGAAATAAAAAGGTCTAATGGTTGCTCAGAGCTGAAGGGGTGGCAATGGGGGCTGAGGAAGAACCAGTGGTTCTCAGGATGCAGCCTGGGTCCGAGAGCCCAGAGGATGAAAGGCGTGCACTTGGAATGTCTAGCCATAAAATGCTAACTTACACATTCTTATTTATTCAACCAGCATTTAACTGAGTACGACACAAGTAGGGGCTCAGGAGTAAAGAGTACTGAGTACCCAGGATGCAGGAATACAGACCTGGGCCCAGGCCTGCCTTGGACAACCATGTGCCCTCCGGAGGCAGGGTGGTCTTAGAAGCTCCCTAAACTGCCTGGTGACTCCTGGAGCAAGGGCACTGGCCTGACCCCTGGGCCTTAAGTAAACACGAGTGTGTGCCATGGTGGAATAGGCTCCAAAGTTCTCGGGCCTGTTTACAGGTCAGAGCAGGGACAGCCAATGGCCCTGGCTCTCTCAGGTTAGGCGATGACTGCCCACCCTGTACCATTCACTTGGGGGTTTCAGGGGTGCTTCCTATCTTTCTCTGTGGCCGCGCAACAACTCCGCCCCAACAAGAGCTGTGACCTCTCCCTGAAACTTCAGGCTCCGACCCAGGAGGAATGCTATGCAGCTGAAAAGCTGCCGCAACCCCCGCGTGCCTGGGGCCCCAGGACACCGCGCACCTGGAGAAAGCCGTGGGGCCGGCGCCCTTGAGCTGCATCTCCCAGCGCTCGCCGGCCTCCGTGCACACTTCGCCCAGGTACATGGCCGCGCCGTCGCCCAACTGCCCGGCGAACTGCCCGAACTGGTGGCCGCAGTAGCAGTGCGCGGCGGGCTCGGCGCCCGGCAGCAGCGCGTTGCCGCTGAAGAAGAGCGCGGCCTCTGCCTCGACGCTCGCGTCAGGCTCAGGCAGCCCCAGCAAGGCCAGCGCGGGCCCCGACAGCGCCACGACGCGCGGCTGCCGCAGCCGGGCTGGTCGCGCGCGACTGAAGCAGGCCCCGGCCACGGTCCGCGGCACGGAGAGGGCGTCCTCGGAGCCAGGCGGCGGCGTCTCTACGGGCAGCGCGCGCAGGACTTGGTTGTCGAAGCGCAGCCCCGCCAGCCAGCGTGGGGCGGAGTCCATGGCGGTGGAGCGGGACGCGGGGGGCGGCCTGGCGCGGCCAGCCGGCGGCGAGGCCCGGAACACGGCCCTCAGCAAGGCCATCAGCCCCGCCGGAAGCGTGGCTGCCCGGAGCGGGAGCACTGAGCACCACCCACTTGCTTGCGCGGGCCACGCCCCCAGAAGCTTAGTTCTGATTGGCTGCCTCACCCGCCAGCCCGTAGTGACCCACTGGCTAAGTGGGCTAGTAGGTCCGCCCCCAAAGACCCTCCGGGCATCCCCAAGTCGGCCTGGCAGTTCTGGCCCCCCCCGACCAGCAGAGGAACTCAGTCTGAGGGCTCCAGAAGCACAGTGACGATGTGGAGGCCACACAGGAGGCCCGCTGGGAGCTGGCCAGTTTAAACTCTGCCTGGAAACTACTCTGGGCCAGCAGGAGTCAGAGGACGAGGGCGGGCCTGCAAAGGCCTGAGTCCACACTGGAGGACTGCTCCTGGTTCTGAAAAATGACCTGTTACCTTGCGCACCCAGCGTCTGTGTCTCTGAGTCCGCGTGGGCAGCGATCTGGATAATGGGTGCTGACTCCAAGACAGCACCCATTGAGGACAGCACTCAGTGAGGACAGGCCCAGTTACTCCAGGGGGAGCTAGAGTCCAGGCCAGACGTTTGGGCAGATGCCCCCGTGGTGCCGACCTGGGCCCAGGACACTGGACAAACAGGCATGCTCCCTCCTGGCTGTGCCACCCTTGTCCCAGGACTCCCACCACTTTACACTTCAAGGAGCTGCATCCAGAACGTTCTCCTAGAGCTGCGGCTTGAGTGTGGGACCCCATGTGACCATGTGACTCCAGATCTGCTGTGGGGTGATGTGACCTTGGTGAATCCCTCCCTGCCACTGTAGGGTGCGGGGGAGGCAGGTGAGTGGAGCCCTGCACAGCATACACAGCAGGAGTGCATGCACAATAGCCCCATCCTGCTGACACCCCCCCCCCCCCCCCCCCGCCTGTCTAGGATCCCCACCTCGACTGCCATGGGCCACAGCCTCAGGTTCCAGCAACCTCCTTTGTAACTGTCCTGGGAATCTGGAGTGCCCCCCTCCCCCCCCGACTTCCCAGGCCAAGCTCTCCCAACCCATTGCCCAGTCCTGGGTCCAGTCTGGCTCAGCTTCATCCATGCTGGGGAATCTGATGGGACTGGGCTGTTGAGGGTCTGTGAATGCTAGACTGGCCAGGCTCACAGCCTTGAAGCCTGAGGGGGACACAGCACAGAAAGGCAATGGCCTCCCTGGCCCTGGTAGCTTTCCTCCAACCACACAGGAGTAGCTCGGCCTCCTCAGTACTGCCTGAGAGCTGGCCCACCCTTCTGGCGGGCTTGAGAGTTCAGGGTGAGAAGTCCTACTGCTTAAGCAACACAGGGATCAGTGTAGGCAAGGAGGCTCTGCTGTGGCCTTTTGAGGGTGGCCTGGCTGCAGCTACTGTCTACCCTGCGTGGGTAGTCACTATGGCCACAGTCCAGTGTGCTGGTCAGTGCAGCTGTGTGGTGTCGGTTCCTCTCCCCATGGCCCACGGCTTTCCCGATCAGAGATGCCAAGCTTGCCTCACCATCCAGGACCCCAGGGCCAGCCCTAGGGGAGCAGCTACCCTTCTTGGAGCAGTGGCCTGGCAGAGATATGGGGGCTGTTGAGGACTTGAGGACCCTGCTTTCCCTGCCCCTCTGCCAGTCCCTCCACTCCCAGTCCTAAGAAGCCTCTTGGCAAAGTGGGGAGGTGACAGAAGCTCCGGCCCTACCTGACTCTCCTGAGATCCTTTTGTGCTGACCCAAAACTGGGTGGTCAGACTGGGCCTCCTTGCTGACTCAGAAGCTGTCATGGCATGTGTCCCAGTGGTCCGCAGTCAGCATGGTCTGAGATGCCCCCAGCTGCAGAAGTGGTCACCTGTAGACATGGGCACCCATTTCATCTGTCGCCTACAGCAGGCCCATTTCTGCTTGATCGAGCCCTAGAGGCTCCTTTCCAGCCTGCCCAGTTTCCTGCTGGGATCGAAGTCACAGCCGCAGGACTAGGCTGTGCCCTGGACTCTTCCCACCTAGGTGTCCCCTGCCTGTCCTGACTCTGAGTCACGGTTTGTATTGCAGAGAACACAGCCAGGTGAGCAGTCAAGGGTTTGGGCCACTCAGGCACACACCCTCGCCATCAGCCATGTTCCCTTCAGTGCTTATTTGAAAAATGCGCACCTTAGAGTATTTCTGCTTACCAGAGTAATACCAATAAGACATTCAGAATCTTTAAGACCAAGGTGGAGATGCACATTGCCCAGGCCCCAGCTGCTGTCCACTGCAATGTGTGTGTTGCAGTCTGCTCTGATGCGCCCTGAGTGTCTATCCAGGGCTGAGTTCTCCTGATTTACTTACTTAGCTCTGGGAACTGACCCAGGGTGTCGTATGTACTAGGCCAGTGCTCACCACTGAATTACAGCCCCTCCTTTTAATTTCTGGTACCAGGGATTGAACTCATGACCTTGCACTTGCCAGTCAGGCACTTATGCCACTGAGCTAAATCCCCGGCCCAACAGCCCCTTTTTGAGACAGGGCCTTGTCTTGCACTTCCGGTCCTCCCACAAGGGCTCCTAGAGCCCCGGGATTGGGGGTGTGAACTGCCACATCTAAGCACCACTGTGCCCCAGCTGCAGTGACCTCATTCATTCCCTCAGAGGAGGGTGTGGTTTTGACCAAGCCCCCAGATGTGAGCAGGGCTCAGTGAACCTCCATGCCCTCAGGAGTGGAGTCTGGCCCCTGCCTTGGGCCCACTGTGAACCTTGCTTGCTGCGCTCAGTGCCCGGCAGTAGTCTGGGATGCCTTGCCTCTGGCCTTTCCTGTGTGGGCCCAGGATGTGTTGTCTCAGACACCCCAGTATCGACCTAGAAATGCTGGGCAGTGACCAGGCAAGCCCCCTGGCACAAAGATGTCTAGTTGGGGTGATGGGCTAGAGGACATAAAGCTAGGAGGCCAGACAGGCTGGACAGGGCTGTCGAGGGGCCCAGCCTGCAACCCTTATCCTCTTCACTGTGCCCAGCCAGACCTGGGGTTCCAGCCCTCAACCTGCGCCTGTGGAGAAAAGCCCTGATCAGGGCAGGCTTGGCAGCCCTGAATCCCCAGCCTACTTGCTGGCCACTTAGTTCCTGCACCAAGCCGATCCAGGCCATGGAGGCAGAGACCCAGCACTGGACAGATGGGGCAGACACATGGGCTCAAGCCTACCAGCACCCAACAGCATAAGGGCCTTCGGCTCCTGCCTGCCTTGCTGTCCCCACCATGCTCAGGCCGGCCTGTGAGGCAGGACCCCTGCTGGGTGTGAGTGCTTACCAGCCCAGCGCAGGATCCTTGCTGTCTGCTGAGGTGGGCACCCCAGGGCCCCTTGATTCACCTAAGCCCCATTTCCACACAGTGCACAAGCAGAAGCTTTCAAAAATTAGAATTTATTTTCATTTCTAAGGAACAAGTCCGTGAGTACAAGTTAGGGCTGCCCAGTGGCTTGCAGCCCAGCCCAGCTTTGCAGGGCTTCCCTGATTTGATTGACAGTCAGCACAGGGACAACTAGACGTGGTGGGGCCTGGACACGGTGGCTGGGGCAGAGTGCTGGGCAGAGGCCCAAGGGAAGCAGCATCCTGTTGGCTGCCTGGGCCCACAGCCCTGCTCCGCACATGCTCACTCAGGACAGACAGACATGAGACTCTCCTGACTCACTGGACTTAAGGCTTGTATTTCCTGACATTTGCTCCAGTTTGCTTTTTTTCTTTAAAGTTAAAATTACCTGAGTAAAAAATGTTTAAACATTTAAAAAAGCCCGAAACACAGTCTCTGTAGGCGGAGATGCAGCAGGTGCGCTGCAGCTGGTCTGGGGCAGCCACGGCTCCCCACCCACAGTGGAGAGCTGTGTGGCCCCAGCGCTCAGGCCTGGGACCGATGCCCGGGGCACACAAGGCACAGTGAGGTAGGGTGTGGCCAGGGCCCGGCCCACCATGGACAAGGCCAGCGTGCACCACAGCCCTCCCCAGCCCACTGCTCGGTGGCCCCCAGGCCCCTCCGGCGGGGAACAAGTGGGGCTGCTGGGAAGCCTGAGCCCAGACAGTTAAATAATCCTTTATTGGGTGGGCTGGGGGTGGGCAGGCGAGGCTTGACCTCGACCCCCATGGGGGGCGCTTGGGTGCTCCCAGGAAGGTTCCTGGGTGGCGCTGGCTCCAGAACAGCACCCCTAGGTGAGGCCTCCTATGGGCCTGGCCGGGCCATGGATGCCCTCTGCAGGCAGGACTGTGCCCCCGGCAGCAACAGCAGCAGGCTTGCGGTGCGGCGGCCCATCCAGTACAGGCTGTAGCCCAGCAGCCCGAAGAAGGCAGCCTTCACAGCCAGGCGGGACACACGGCCCGCAACAGACGGTGGGGGGACACTGGGGAGGGAGGACTGGGCTGGGCCGGGCTGGGGTGTGAGCCCTCCAGCCCCAGCCCACAGTGTGTGGGTTCCCAGGGCCCATCCTGCTAGGGGCAGGGGGAAAGGGGGGACTCCACGGGGGTAAAGGGGTGCTCACGTCATGATCTCCTGGATGTTGAGGTCCGTGCTCCAGTTCTTCTCAATACCGGGCACATGGCCCATGCCCACAACACCCACAACCACGGAGGGCACACATTTCCTGGGCTCAGCTGTGGGGGGGCAACGGTCAGCAGTGTGCTGCAAGAGCCACAGTGTCCATGGGAGCCTGCCACCACCGTCACTCAAGGTCAGCCTCACCCTCAGAGGCGCGGGGTAGCTCCAGGCGCCGTGCGGCCTGCCGCAGCATGTAGGTCAGATAGATGTCCCGCTCGGACACAATGGTGCGGTGCAGGTCGGGGAACTCGCCGATCATCTCCGCCATCATCTGCTCCAGCAGGTCCTTCTGCTTGCAGCGCTCCACGTCATCCTTGCTGTGGGCAGAGGCATACTGCCAGCCCCAAGAGACGGGTTGCTGGCAGGGTGGGTCCCGCAGCAGAGGGCTTGCGGCCACCGTGGGAGGGGTGAGGCCTCTTATGAATGGCTTGGCTGGGGCACACATGGGCCAGGGGCTGCCCTACCTGATGGGGTCTGACAGGAAGCACAGGCCCCAGGCCAGCTTGACCTTCTGCCAGAAGGACAGCGCGGCGATGGCCCTCTTGAAGGTGACAGGGATGGGGCGGTCACCCAGGTGGAACTTGCAGAAAGGCACCTTGCTGGCCTGGAGCAGAGGCCACGTTGGGCATAGCCCTGCAGCTCCTGCTGGCCCCTCCTGGGGTAAGGTCCTTGCCACCCCCAGTTGTGCCCAGCGCCTACCTCCTTGAAGGCCTCTCTGAACTCGCCACCAGGGGCCATGCCCAGCTGCTCAGTGATATGGGCTGACACCTTTAGCAGCAGCATCTGCATGAGCCCGGACATGAGTCCATTCTGTGGGAGAGAGCCAGATCAACTGCACCACGCATGTGTGAAGGTGGAAGGCGGCGCTCAGCCCCATCCCTAGGGTCCTCCCATACCAGGCCACACCATAGCCGATAGCCACTTCTGCGGCACATGTCCTTTTAGGAAAGCTTTCTTCATAGCATAGGCAGGGTGTCAAGTGGGGCACCTCACAGTGTCATGGGAACACGTGAGCCACAGGGCTGACCCCAGGCACACAGGGCGAGATCTGCAGCCATGTGGTAGGGCCAGGTGGCCAGGCTGTATCAAGACCCGATTCTAGTCCTGCCCTGGGGTCAGCAGCACCCGTCTCTCCTCCCTCACTGAGACCCACAGATCAGCCCTCCCTTCCCCTTCGGGCTGGGCTGAGTGCCCCTTGCAGGCTACCAGCCTGAACACAGCACATGGGGGACCCGGGCCCTGCCCCACACGCCCAGTGCACACACCTGCCGTACGGCCTGCTGCAGCTTTTCCAGGTTGACCTCCTTGGCCTCACGCAGCAGTGTCCTCTCATCCATCTTCAGCATGGATACTCGGTACTGGCAGAGCTCCACGACCACAACGTCGGGCTGCACCTCACGGATGGTCTGTAAGGCATGGTCATACGAGGGCTGGCCTGCTGCCCTGCGCTAACACCCTTGACTCAGCAAGCCACCGAGTTTAGGGCCAGGTTCTACAGGCATGAACAAAGTGCTCAATGCAGGGCAGGGGTCATAGGGCGGGAACAAGTGGGTGAGGTATGGCTTCAGCCCTCACCTTCACCACATCCCGCTTGCTGTCGTCACTGAAGTGGGCAGTGCCCACCACATACACCCTGCTGCCGTCCTCAGCCACCAGCTGGGTCACTGTGCGTGGCAGGTTGGGTTGCTCACGCCGCCGCTTCAGCTTCATTTCCAGGAGCAGGTTGAAGGCATCCACGTCAGCTGAAGGCACAATGGGCCATGCTGGGCTCTGGGGGTCCGACCCCCACAGCGCATGTCCCGGCAGGCTGCCCAGCTGCTATGTGGCTCAGGAGCCCAGGGCGGGGGACAGCAGGGACAAGGCGCTCAATGCTAAGTGTCCCTGTTGTGCTCAGTTCCAGCCAAGGTACTGGGCATGCAGTGAGGCCCCCCTGGCACCCATGGGCCAGTGCTGTCCATAGCACTCCATCTGTGGGTCCCATAAACCTCACACCCCAAGCTTCCATGGGAGACATACACAGGTTCTGGGCATCTCCAGAAAGCACCCTTGGCACCGCCTCTGAGGTCCCTGATGTCATGATGGTGTCCATGTCAGCCTGGGGCAGAAGAGAAGGGTCAGGTGGTGTGCACATGCCTGGGAGAGGCTGCTTATGAATTTCACCCTCCAGATTAGGTCCCCCACCTTCCCCTTGGAGGGGCTTCCTGCCGGGGTGCAGAAAACAGGGTGCAGCAAGTTCTTGGCAGAGAATGAGCCAGAGGGACCCGAGGAGGCCACAAGGTAGATGGTGTCCCCGTGGGAATGCCTGGCAGCCAACACCCTCACCTCCTGAGGTGGCTGCTCCTCCCCGTCCATGCTGGGTGGTGGCTTCTGAGAGGCCAGAAGAGCCTAGGAGACAGGACACAGTCCTCGCCTGGGGCCTGAGGCTGGGTGAAGGTTTCCTGAACGACCCTTGCTCTCTCTGCCCCAACTGCCAGAGGCGGCTGCTGAGGTCCATGTCCTGGGTGAGGCCTCATTTGCAAACCTGCAGCTTCTGTGGGCAGCCACATGACAGACAGGCAGCGCCCAACCTGTACCCCAGTGGCTGCTCACCACCCAAGGCTGAGGCCTCCGAGCAGGAGCCCCCCAACAGCATTAGCAGAGTCAGCCAGAAGAGGGTGGCACCCTGGAGGCCAGCTCATAGCAATGGGGCTCTTGCTGTGTCCTCACAGAGGACTCCCAGCTCTGGGGACACAGGCCCGGACGCTAGATGCACACAAAGGGTTGACTCCTGCTGACCAAAAGGACACAAATGCCCTGTCAGACCCATGCCTGATGCAGCTGAGGGTCCCACTGAGCTTTGGCCATGTGCCCTGTCCTGTTCAGTGCTCCCTGAACTTGCTGAGTGGGGCTCAAAGGTGTCCCATGCTTCTGGACAGATGCCACCTGTCAGAGTCATTGGACAACCCAACTTCGAACCATGAGCCCTGAGCCTAGAAGCCTAGGGAAGGTTGCAGGACCAGACTGTGGCTGGTTCCTTGACTGGTGCTCCACAGGGCACAGGAGGCTGGCTCTTGGGACAAGGGTGGTGCCTTGCTGAGTTTGGGCCTCAATCTGAGAAATCTTGCTGCTGGATGCTGTAACATTAGAGAACTAAAATACCCCAAATTGCCTTTGGCCATACTGAGGGTCTGTGTGCATCCAAGGGGACCCTCAGGAGGATCCAGGACCCAGGGTGCGGGAAGGGACCCTTGGCCTCACTTCCATCTCATCACTGCAGCACACATCTCACAACTTTCATAGCTCACAGGAAATGGGGAGCACAAGAGTGTGTGGTCGCTCAAGTCCCTTTTCCCTCCACATCTGGTGGCCCTGCTGCACACACAGACCCTGGCGCTCAGCAGTGTCTGCCAGGATGACAGCCACCTCCAGCTCCCCAGCCACAAAAAAGGAAAAAACTGCAACCTCTGGCCTGCAGCATCTCTGGGTATAAACAAGCGCCTGATGTGGCACCCTGGGGTCAGCAGGGAAGGGCAAGGCTGTTCTGAGCCCAGCTGGGCCCCCTGGAAGAGGAAGTGGTGTGGCAGGGTGCAGAGAGGAAGCAACTGGGCTGCAGGGTACAGGGAGGTCAGCAGAGAGCAAGCGCAGCAGCCGGCAGCCCCTGCCTGGCCTCCCAGCCCAGGTCTCAGGCTCTGCCCTCTCCATCCGGGCTTCCAGTCCCAGCCCACCCCACCTGGGTGTCATAAAGGCCAGCACGTCTGGGCAGCACCACAGGCTCCAGTACTCTGCCAGAACCAACAGACATTGGCTCCTTTGAATCTCATTCCCTTCCACAGATGAAACCAGCTGACACAAGCGGGAGGGAAGGTGGTGTGGCTGTGGGCCCTTCCCCTTTATGAACCAGGAAGCCAGAGGACGGTCAGCTGCGGTCCACCCGCAGACATATAGCCACAGCCCCACCAGGGATGGGGACAGCTTTCCAGCCCAGCTTCACCTAGTAAGCAAGCTGCACTTGCTGATGAACAGAGCAGGCTGCCAAAGCGAAGCAGAAAAAAACTTCTTAAAAAAACACCCTGTGCTGGAGGGTGGAGGCTGTGGCACAGTCAGCGAATGGGAGGAGACCACGTTGTCTCAGCCTGCCCTGCCCTGCCCTCCCACAGGCGCTCCAGGTCTGTGGTCCCGTTGATCCACTGGGCCAGCCCCCTCTTCTGCTTGCCCAGGGTGTGCCAGAGCCTGAGGAGGCAGCGAAGGCCCCAAGTTTGCCGTGGGGCAGGAATGCTCCTGTCTCTGGGTGCTGCGAATGGGGATGGGAAAAGCCTGCTGCGCTGTGAACACAGCTTGAGCCTCACTGGGGTCTGGCCACCCTAAAGCAGTGGGGGACCCTGTACCGCTCCCCCGTGTCTCACCAAGGGCAGTGCCTACAGGGAGAGGGGGAGGTGTAAAGGCTACCAAGGTCCCCGTGCGGGGAGCTGGCGCTGTCCCATTGTGTGCATCCACTGGGTACTCAGGAGGTTGCTGATCCTCCCCTCACTGCGTGGCACTTCCGCCTGGAGACCTGAGCCCAGTCTCCACCTCCCTGCCCCCACCTGTGCTTTCCAAACAGGCTCAAACCTTGGCACAGACCAGCAGACCCCCAGCTGCTGCCCTGCAGGGGAACGAATGCCTGTCCTCCTTTATAAAACCCGGCAACTAGTAGGCAGCTCCTGACTTCATCCCTGATTCTGACCCCAGCCACATGGTCAGTTCAGCTCCCAACCAGCTCTCCATGCTACATAGCACTGGGTCAGGCGCTGAACGCCACAGAGAGAGCCGTCTCCCTTGAGGCTGGCTGGCAACCCAAAGACATCTCTGCTGGCTGGGGCTTGGTCTATAACAGAGCTTCCACGAGGCTCCTAACAGCCCGGTCCAAGAGTGGACGGTATCTATTTCCAGCATGGACGCGGCTGTCCACACACGAAACAGGACACTGGCCCGCAGTGCACAGCCTCTGCTACCCGAAGCCACGCAACCCCTGCTCGGCCCCAGCAGTGCACCCTCCACCAGGTCCCTTACTAGGAACTGACCTACGTTTCTCTAAATTGGCACTCCGAAGTCTAATCCCAGGGCGGTGCACTTACAAGTGAAGACGCACCCCGCTATGGGATTCACGCCCCAAGAGTGCAGAGCGGCACGCAGGGGCTTCCGGGGAGCCAGGCAGCGCCCTCGGCAGCATCCAGACCCCGGGCCCGCAGCCTTCAGCAGGTGAGTCTCTGCGCCAGGCCTCCTGTCTTGGGCCACCATCCAGAGCTCAGCCGCCCGCCCCACGCCCCACGCCCCTCGCCCGGCCCTTCCAAAAGTTGCCTCCCCGCCCGGCCAGCTCCCGGCGTGGCCGAAACGCAGGCGCCCACAGGCGACCCCGGAAGCCCTCGTCGCCCGCGAGGAGCAGAGGCGCCGACCTCCTCACTCGGGGCTGGAGCCCGGGTCCGGGGAGCGCACGGCCGGGGGTGGGGGCACCCACCTGGGGACCGGGGGTGCCGGCCACAGCGCCCGTCCTGGCTTCTGCCGCGGGACCCGCCACGGGCGGCCACGCCCGGGAGAGGCGGCCAAACCCCGGCGGCCCGAGCCCCTCGGCCCGGGACACGCGCGTAAGCCCGCGTGCCCCGCGCTCCGCCCTGTCCTGCGACAGTGACAGCGCGCCGCGCCCGAGGCCGCGCGCCCCGGCTCGCAGCCCGCGCCCTGCCAGCCCGGCCCGACCTCCAGCGCGGCGTACCAGCGGCGCGGGGCGCTCCTGCCTCGGCTCGGCCTCAGCCGGCCTCCATGCGCGCGTCCCGCACGGGCCGGGGGCGGGGCTGCCGCGCGGCCTGCCGGGAGGCTCCCAGGGGCCCGCGCGCGCCCGCCCGCCCGCCCGCTGCGGTGGCGCTGGGTCCTAGCGGGCCGCGGCTGCTTGGCGGCCGCACTCGCAGGAACCCAGGCGGTCTGCTCGCTGACCGCGGGACTGGAGGGGCAGGATTGCAGGGGCCGCCCGGCAGGGCGGGATCGGGCGGCCTCCTGGCCCGGCCGTGCGCGAAGCCCCGTTCTCTGCTGCAGCCGGCCAGCTGCCCACTGAGCCTCCCGGCTCCCGGTCTCCTCCGCGGTCCCTAACCGCGGGGGGAAGGACCCCACCTCTGGCCTGGCGTCCTCGTACACCCTGCCCACTCCCTGCCCTATCTCTGGTCCGTTCTGCCCTCTGGCCAGGTTCCCACCGGGAGCTCGCTCACCGGGGCCACTGCCCTTAGCTGGGTGCGATCCCAACTCAGGGATGCTGGGGCGAGGAGGCGGCTCTGTCTTGGCTGCGGGGGAAGGCGCAGGGTCCCCTGGTCGGCACGTCTGTGGGAGGCACCTACTAGTCCTGCCTGCCTCTCCCTGGCGCCAGCGGGAAGAAGGTGGGAAGTGGGGTCGCTGCCAGGACTCACCTGGGAAGGTGGCTTGAGCTCCCGCTGCGACCTCGTACAGAAGCTGCGCTGGGCTGCGGGGCTAGGAGCACAGGGAGGAGAGTCGGGAGTCCTGGGGGGTGCTCAGCCATGCTGGCAAGGAAACAGACAGATCCTGGCTTGGCAGGACCTGGGCCTCCCCGGACTCAGGTTGCACAGCTCCAGCGGATCTCCACAGCTTCCCCAAGCGCACCGGTTTGGGGCAGGTTTGGTTCTGCCACGGTGGGCGGGCAAGAGATGGCCAGGAAGGACCGTGGGCATAAGCCTACAGCCGAGGCCGCGGTGGGGGACTAGCCAAGCTAAGGTGGGGCTTCTTGAGGTGGGCTTGCAGCAGAGAGGAGCCAGGAGGGTGAAGGGTTTGAGGCTCAGCCCGAGGGGTGAGGGAACCAACAGTTGTGTGTGTGTGTGTGTGTGTGTGTGTGTGTGTGTGTGTGTGGCAGTTCTGGGATGGAATCTAGGCCGTCCCACTGAGCTACATCCCCAGCCCTTTATTATTTTAAGATGGCACCTTGCTAAATCACTGAGCTGCCCAAGCTGGGCTTGAGCCCAAGCCTCCCACAGCCCCAGGATTACAGGTCTGTGCCACGGCATTCTTCAAGGCCTCTAGGACTTCTGGAAAGTTGGGGTAACTTATAGGGCCGTGGGGCCAGACCTCAGGTCCCTGGCACCAGCAATAACATCTGCTTCTCTAGGCTCCCTGCAAAAGGTTAGCTCTGTGCAGAGAGGGTCATGTGTTCACTCACAGCAGATTTCTTAGACAGGAACTAACATGTCTGTTCAGGCCACGCAGGCCAGGGATGGGCAGAACCCCTGGTCATGGGCCCACTGAGGCCTTCAAGGGGCTCCCTGGACACCTCCGCCCAGTCCCTCCTGTGTCTTCACAGCAGGAAGCAGGGCCCACAGGAGAGTGCAGGAGCCTGACCCGGGGGTACTGTCTGGAGCAGCAGGTTCCTTGATCCCATGGATACCTTCCCAGCTGGAGCAGGCTCCTGGAATGCGCAGCTGAGCTGGGGGATAGGTGCAGTGGACTGTGAAGCCAGGGTGGTTGGGGACAGCCTCACTTGGGTTTTGTACCGTGTGGAGTTGGTCTGTGGATGTGAGCTGAGGAGCGAGGGATTGTCCTGCACCTGGAGGACAGATGGCCAAGCTTCTGAATTGCTGAGGGAACCTGGGGTCCCTACCCTAGAGGTATGGATGCCAGGCTTAGGGAAATATCCTGTCTCAGCCGAGGGTGAGCTTTCTGACTGGGGGTGATCAGGACCCACCAAAAGTGTATTAAGCCATGTCTCTTATTTTCTGCATTTCTGGGGCTCTAACCCTGGGGCTGTGCTGACCCTGGGCAGCCATCCTTCCAGGGCTGGCAACGACACTGCATGCAAACCACTGGCTCACAGTCCACATCCAGTCAGCTCCCACACCCTGGGCCCTGGCAACCTGCCCAGCCACTCGGGGTGGGACGGGTCAGGCACCAGGGATGCCCTGGGCCCACACCTGCTGAGGCTCTGCAGCCCAGCCGAGCCTAAGCCCCTGAGCTGCACCACCTGCTCCTCCTGGGGATCCACAGCATAGCCGCCTGCCTGCCCACTATGTTGCTCCTCCTCCCTCTGCCTGTCCTTCCCGGTGTGGCCCCATGTGGCATGGGTACCCCTTCTTTAGCACGTGTGAGCAGTCTGTTCTACAGCTGAGGTCTTCTGCTGTGCTGTACCCACCAGACTGGACAGTAATGAAGCATTATAGAGCTGATGATAAACCTACACTTTAAATAAAACTCGCCCCCTGCCCAGGCTGGGCTGTAGTGGCTGCACCTTGGCCACTCCCAGGGATGTTTGGGAGCCCTGCCCTGTCCCTCAGGACTGTTCCAGCAAAGGAGCTGCTGAGGAAGCATCCAGAAGGCCCCGGGTCAGTGGTGGGAGGCCCCTTTCTGACAGCTGACTCCACACTATGGGGCTTGGGGCTCAGCTTCTGAGTCTCTGCTTCCCAAGAGCCTCAACTCAGATGGATGGAGTTGCCTGCTCTGGGTCCCACTGAACCCTGGCCTCTTACCATGATGAGCACCTCCCGCAGGGCACCTGCTTTTGAAGTCTTCCCAGTCCCTGCTGGCTCTGTCCCCCTGGCAGGATGCCTGACTTGCCTCCCACCCCCACGTCTGACCCAAGTGATGTCTCCTTGATCCCCAATGGGGCTCACTCTGTCTCCCCAAGCTGGGGCCAGGCTCCAGCACATTCCTCCGGGACCCCAGGCCAGCATCCGTCACACTGTGGGGTAGAGGCTCAATACCTCTGCACCCTGGTGGGCAGTCATGAGAATTGAGAGAGGCAGGGACCACTCTGAATTTGGGCAGGAGGCGCTGGGCATGGCGGGACCAGTGGTTATCAGAATAACATTTATTGATATGCTCAGTGCTACCTCGTCAATACTGCGTCACACGCCGCGGTGGCTGAGGTAATAGGGTGGGGCCAGCGGCAGCCTGGGCTCCAGGTAACCAAGAGCACAGCTGGCCCAGGAGGGGTGTGGTTATTGCGTTGGACTCCTTCCCTCGCTCACTCTCCTGCTGGCACCCACCTGCCCTCACCCACTGGCTCACATGCATGCAGTGCCCCTTGCACACACAGGTCACTCCACACACAGGCACACTCAAGTTCTCTCGCACCCACACCTGCTCATGAATGCTGGTACAGGGCACTGGGCGTCTCCCCCACACTTGCGTTCACTCCTGCACTTGTACACTCACACCTACTCACATACTATCCCTTGCTTTAAACTCATCCTAGGTCTCCTGATGATGAATATGCTCATCAGTTACAGTAATCATAGTAAAATAAAGTGTATGTCAGGCTACAGGAAGAAAGTGCATGTTGATTTGGGCCCAGGGCTGCCCTCACCCCCACCTGGGGGCAAAGGTCCCTGCAGGGGTGGAGCGTCTTCATAAGTGACCCCTGGGGCGTGGCCCAGTGGCCAGTGCCACCTTCCCTGGTATCCTTCTCAATTGCCCTGGGATGGGGCCCAGGATGGGGGGGCACTGAGCTGTCCTGCCGGTCTTCGCCCATAACAGAACTGGCTAAAAAAATAAACTCTATCTTGCAGCCTGGCGCCCAGCACAGCGCCTGCATCAGGGTGGGTGGCACCTCACTTCAGCCTTGCCCTAGCCCCCTCGCATCAGTGCCTCGGTGAGCCAGGCAGAAGGGTGCTGAGCCCCAGCATGCAGTACAGGCGGGGGTGGCAGTGCCAGACGGGCAAAGGCCATGTCCGTGGGCTCATGCAGGGGCCCAGGTGGCCCATCCCTCAGAACTCCACGGTACTCACAACTGTTCTGGGCTCCTCAAAAGTGGCAATGAGGATCTGCTGGGGTGGGGGGATGGTGATGAGGTCACCCATGTCCGCAGGCACCCGGGGGGCCCCCTCGTCCTCCTCCCGGGCTTCGTACAGTGTGTTGATGTGGAGCAGGGGGTGGGTGGTATTGCGGCTCAGGATGGCCAGGGGATCGGCTTTGCCCAGGCTGGCTGGTGACAGAGGGGCCACAGTGGGCGATGCGGCGGGCGAGCAGACGTGGAATGGGCCCCCAGCAGGAAGTCCAGGCCGGGCCGGCTCTGCAGAGTATGGGGTCTCCTTCTCAGGGAGTGGGGCATCTGTGAACAGTGGAACACAGGCGTGGCAGGGTCTGATCACTCCCCCGCCACACCCCATGCCCCGCCACGGCGTGTCAGTGGCCTTTCCTTCAGCCAGGCCAGTGGGGCGGCTTCGACACAGGAGGACAACAGTCACCTGGGCCAGCACCATGCTCACCCCTGTGGGCTGGGGCAGCTGGGGCTGGGCTCAGTCTTCCTCCTCCTCCTGCTGCCCCTGAGAGCCCCTAGTTGGTCAGTTCTGCACCCCATGCACCCTGTTCCCAGGTGATCCCTTCTCTCTTTCCGGACACAGCGGGCTCCTGGCCTGGGGGACTCTGGCATCTGCCTTCTGCCACCTCCTACTGGCTCCTTACCTTTGGTGGGTGCTGTGGCCAGGCCCAGCCCGCACTCCTCAGCTTGTGACAGGAAGCCGCCTTCCTGGCTGCGGGAGGTGGGCAGAGCTGCAGGTACCGTCTCAGGCTTGGCCTTCTTGGTGCCCAGGATATAGGGGTGCACATCCAGGGAGAAGTGGCGTGCATGCTTCTTGTCTGGGGCAGTGGCAGCACCTGCGTCCCCCCCGCTACCCTTGTAGTGGTGTGCAGCACGGGCGCCTGCATCCAGGAGCGGGGCAATCAGCGTGTCGGTGGCCGTCTTCCTGCGCACAGGCTTAGGCTTCTCAGCCTTGCTGTTCTCCACCCGCATGATGGCCAGCTGCTCCTTGAAGGGCTGCGGCAGCGGGTTGCTGGTGGGGATCCACTTCATCTTCTTTCGTGGCCGCTTGACCACGGGCGGCTCAGCAGAGCCGTCAGGCTCGGCAGGGTTGGCGCTGGGGTCCACAGTCTGGATGCCAGAGTCCCGCACAGTGGGAGTGGCGTCGTGGTTGGACTGGGCCAGTGCAGCCAGCAGCTGCCGCACCACATTGTCATACATGAGGTCGCTCTCATTGGTGATGAAGTCCAGCCGGTTGAGCGACTTGATGTGGTCCCGGTTCTCATTGCAGAACATGGCAAGGATGTTAATGTCACAGAACTGGGAGCGTCGCCACTGCCGCCGTGTCTTGATGCCCACCTTGTGCAGCTTGTCGAAGATGAAGTTGCTCTTGCGGAAGATGAAGAGGTGGATGAGGTTGACGAGAATGATGAGGTTCATGAAGCACAACAGTACGATGTCCACACCCGCGATGATCCGCTGCAGCTGCACGGACGGCAGCTTGCAGCTGACGCGCACGGCTGGGCCCCCACCTGCTGGGCCGTCAGGGGAGGCACCGAGCGCGCAGGTGAACTCATTCTGCTTCTGTGTGGCATAGTAGGTACACAGGTAGGAGATGGGCACCACACTGAGCAGCAGGATGAGCACATGCCGCGCCAGGTACAGCTTGGCCAGGAAGTTGCTGCGGCCCCGGCGCTCCAGGTACTTCTCGAACAGGTTCTGCTCCGGGCTTTTCTCCTTCTCGGCATTCTCAATGATCTCGCGCTTCTCCCGCTCTGTGATGCCAGGCCCCTTGGACTGGATCTGCTTCTCGATCTTGGGTGCGCGGCCCTCAGCTGCCCTGTGGTAGCAGTTGTCGATCTCCTGCAGTAGGAAGTTGAGCTCGGAGGTGAGGCGGGTGGAAGCCAGGAACTCCCAGCCCAGCGCAGGCACGTACATGATGGCAGCAAAGGCCAGCAGCGCATACGGCAGGAACTTGTGCTCAAAAAGCGATGGCCACAGGCTGGCGTCCACGCCGGGCAACGCGTCCCGAAGCTCCGTCCAGCAGTAGCCACGGGCGTACAGTGCCTGGTCGCGGGTGAAGTTGTGCGGGGTGTAACAGTAAATAGGTTCCTCTGGGGGTGAGAGGAAACACAGGCTGGGGCATGAGGTGGGACTAGCCTGGGAGACCAGGGCTGGGGTGGCACCACTGGCAGGGTTGGCCCTGCACTGCCTGGATACTGCTCCTGTACAGCCCCCTCCTATTCAGCTGCCTGCTGTGTGTGGGGACCGCGTCCCCCAGACGCCAACTCCCCCTGGACCAGCTTCCCCTCTCCACATCCCGTCATGGTGATGTGGAGCTCACCCTGAGCGTCCCTCTACAGATTCCTGCCCATTCCAGTACCAAATGCCACAAAGACTGCACGAGGGGAAACTGGGTCCCTGAGAAGCCCAAGACCGGTCGCACCACCTCTTCTGTTGCCTCAATTGGACCAAAACCAATTGAGGTCCTGGTCTTGGCCACTGCCTTGGGCCACCAGACAACCACCATTGGGCAGGGCAGGTGCCAAGGATGTACCTACCTGAATTTGGCAGCCCAAGTGCCAAGGGCCATTCACCCCCGCTCCTCCTAGCTCAGCACACAGCTCTGGCTTGCCATCATGCCCACCCCAGGGCCCTGTCAGTCTCGGCAGCCCCACCTGGTGATCTTGGAATCACCAGGATACAGCCCAGCCAGGGAGACCTCACTGCGTGCTACTGGGGAGTCCTGGGGTGGGGGTGGGGGTGAAGAAGTGTGGATGGGTGAAGGGAGCCCCAGACGGGCAGAGGCTAGGAGCGCTAGGGAGAGCCGGCCCAGAGGCCAGAGGTCCTGGAAAAGCTGGTGATGAGCTGGGTTTGGAGGAGGCCATAGCGTCAGCGCCCGTGTGAGAGGTAGCACTTTACTTGCCGAGCTTGGTCTTCACAGACAACCCTAAAAGCCACAGGTGGGCCTGCTCTTCTCCTAGAGTTTGTCTCTACCTGGTGCCATGCCTGTCCCCACTGCCACATAGGCCTCAAACTGGCTGGCCCTGCAGATGTAGAGTGTCCCCGAGGCGGACCCCTGCTCAGGCTTCCATGGCTCCTTGACTCTGGGATGGGGCTGGCCTGTCTCCTGAGCTGGAAAGGAGTGGTCCCACAGCATGGGTGCGATGTATGGTACCTGCTGCCACCTCGTTTGCCTCCTTGGTCCCATGTGCCACCCAGACCCTCAGTTTCCTCATCTGCTCACAGGTCCCTGTGGGCCAGCTGCGTGGTGAGGCCTGGCCACAAGGGCCCTGCAGGCACCTCTAGCAGGATGCTCCCGATGGCACCGCAGGTTGCAAAGGAGGTAAGGATGTAAGGGTGGCCAGGCTGCCAGCCAGTGGTGAGGGTCTGATCTTGGTGGACAGCAGGGATGAGGGCAGAGGGTACTGTCTGGGCCAGTGCAGATGTCTGAGGGAGGCAAAGGTCTGGCCGGTCCTTCGGCACATGTCCTCCCCTGGGGCAGTGGTGTGTAGACTCCAACACTGGGCCTCCCAGCCCAGAAGCCCTCTGGACACCCTCCTTTCCAGCTTACCTGGCCCACTGCAGGGCCCAGGGTGAACACAGAGCCACAATCACAGCAGGTTGCCTGACACAGCCTGGGGAGGAAAGAGTCTGACCACTGCAGACACGGCCTCTCTGGACCTCTGTCCCGGTCCCACCCTGGATAGCATCTTTTCTCATCCTCCAACAACTTGCACAGCTCCAGACACAGGTCCAGCAACAGAAACCCCAGGCACAACTCTAGGGTACTGCCAGCCCCAGCCACATCTCCATGTCCTGTGGGCACCTGGTCTCCATCTTTCCCAAAGTGAAGCTGGTGCGTTCTGCGGCCCTGCCAGCCCTGGAGGTTGCCTGTCACTCTGGTGTTGGCTCGTGGCCACTGCTGCCTTCTCAGCACCCTCACTCTAGGGAAGTCCAGACACCTGCAAACCCCCATGCTGGAGGAGACACTGTGGTCAGCCAGATCACTGCCCCAAGGTACGCACGCTGCTCTCGGAACCTGAGACTACGTCCCTTACGTGACAAAGCCGGGATCACATTAAGGGCCTTTCAGGGGTGATTCTGGATTATCAGAGGTACAGTGTGATCACAGGGGTTCAGTCTCCAGACACTGGCTTCAAGATAGAACAACCTCCAGCAACTCCTGAGAACCAGCCCTGCTGAGTCCTTGACCTGAGACTCATCACTTACGCTTTACATTTTTGATTTGCAGAATTATAAGACAACATGCTTTGTGTGTATGCGTGTGTACATGTGTGTGCACTATGCACCTGGGCCTGGAACACATTAGGCAAGAGCCCCAGCACCACCCTGAGCTCCACCCCAGTCCTGTGTGTCCTTCTGAGCTTCCTAGTTTGTGTCTAGTGGTGCTGGACCCTGATGCCAGTGAGCTGCCAGCCTCCTGTGGAGGGGACCCTGCCCACCAGCATGGGCAGGAGTGTAGGGAGACCCCTATGGGGTGGGGCACCCACTGAGAAGGGGCTGCTGCTCAGGGGCCACAGAAGAGGGTATATCGTCAGAGGCCCACACAGGAGACCCAGGAAGCACCAAGCTGCAGCCCACACAGGATGATGGGTACCTTTCCTCTCCATGCTGGATGCGCACAAGCAGCAGCCACGCCTGTGGCTGAAGGGCTCCCCCAGATGATATCCTGAAACACCCAAGCGCTAGGGACCCAAGCATGTGGCGACATTAGGCCTAATTGGGGGTCTCCCCAGAAGGGTCCCATAAAACCAAGGAATCCTGGGAACTTTGGCCTCTCCACCTGACCCTAACTCCTAGGCTAACCACAGGGGACTGTTTTCATGGCCGCTCGATCCCACCACTAGTCAGTCTCGGGTCAGAGGCATAGCAGTCTTTCTAGGCCACCCCCCTACCTCCAGCTCTGCAGGGCAGGGAGTGAGCCCCAAGGGAGACTGCAGAACCACTGCACTGGGCCCTCCCACAAGAGCATCAGGGCCCTGGGGTTTAGGTTATCTCAGGCTAAGGCTGATGAGGGCTGACCATGTATTTGCACCACAGGGTCCTCTCCTTACCACATTCCTCTTGGGTGACAGCATGTGCTCCTTCTTTGCACCAGGGACACACATGGGTGTGCAAGTCAGGCTGCATGTGGAGGACATGGGCCCAGTACCCTGTACCTGCTCACTGGACTCACAAACTGTCTACCTTGGCCAGAAGGGCAGTGACCTGGAACAAGGGGCTTGATACACCCAGCAGCCCTGGCTCAGGCCCTAACAGACAGACACCTACATATGGTCCCCTCTTTATGGCAGTTGCCTCCCAGGTCCCCAGGTATGTTTTCATTAAGAGCAGAGGAGTGAAGTCTGCTCCTAGAAGACCACAGCTTCTGACCATACCCCTTCTGCACCCCTGCCCATTCCAGGGCCCCCAACAGTTGCCAGGGCCTCTGGAAGTCCACTGTGTATGGCTCCTGCTTGCCCAGGCACGAATGATTTAAACATGACGTATCCCCCAGGGTCCTGTGCTGGGGGCTTCAGCATTCAGAGATGGCACCTTCACAGGTAACCATCACAACCGAGCTGATGTCACAAGCTTCATCGGCTCCTGAGTTCACAGCTGCCTGGCTTTTAAGAGGCTGGGCCCGCAGGGGAGCTGGTCATGGGCCTTAAGGGCGCCTCTGCCGTGGCAGGTACTCTCTCTGCTTCCCGGCTGCCAGGGATCGACTCTCTGCTGCCATGTCTTTTGCCACGAGGGCTCTGCTGCATCACAGGCCAAAACCAACAGGACCAGCAACCATGGCCTGAAATCTCTAAACCCATAAACCAGAATGTATCTTTCCTCTTTTAAATTCTGTGGGCTTCTGTGAAAGGCTGGCTGACACACCCCCATTTTCCTTGTGTCTGGGGTTCCCTCAACTCCAGGAGTTAGCACATGTCTGGAGGAGCCTGGATGCTTCCAGGTCCTGTGACACTCACAGGCTCTGAAAAGTTCCAGGAACTCATCACCCCGTCCTGGATCCTGACTGAAGCCAGTGGAACCACCCAAAGCTTCGGAAGACGAGGGGAGCTCAAAGGGAACATGGTTGCTTACAGCCTGAGATGTCTCCCTTAACCTCTGTGCTTCGCAGATAGCCCTGCTGGCCAGCCGCATCCTGTGGCCGTGATACTGCCTTGTTCATACTGAGGTGGGCTCCCTGGTATCAGAATGTGGGGTGCATATGGGGTCACCAGGAGTGGCCGAGTCCACATATATCCACAGCTGACCTGTTCAACTCCATCTAGTGGGTGGTGCTGTGTCCCTCAAAAGGACCTGTTGAAGTGCGAGCCTTGTGTCTGCAAGCTGGCTTCATTTTGGAATATAGCCTGCCTATGCAGTTCAGGGTGGTTTTGAAAGCACTATGCAACCCAAGTTGGTCTCAAACTTGCAGCAGTCTTCCTGCCTCAGCCTCCCAACTGCTGGGATTACAGGTATGCACCTGGCTCGTGAGCTGGCTTTTTGGAAACAGGGCTGCAAAGGTCCTGGAGTTGGGTGAGGTCACAAGGTAGCAGGGTGGTCCCTGACATGATTGTGTCCCCAGACAGCAGCAACTCAGGCTCACACAGAGGCACAGGGCAGGTGCAGAGCAAGGAGAAGACACCTACAGCCACAGAAGTGACTCTTGCGGTCACTTCACAGGGACCCAGCCCCACCTGCATCTGGATGTTTGGGTTTAGGCCTTCAAAGCTGTGAGAGATAAATTTGGGTTGCTTCAAGCCACCCAGTCGGCAGTTGGCAATAGCTACCACAGTGTGGCCAAAACCCTACCGCTGTGCACAACTATGTGTGATCTGAGGCCCTGTGATGTGTGTGTGCATACACTGGAGCACATCGAGGTCTGTCTGCAAGTGACCCAAGGCCCTATAATGTCTGTGCACATGTGGTGTGCTCCAAGGTGCCCTGTGCATACCTAGGTGTGGCCCAGTCTCCTGTCCCACTATAGGAGGATCTAATCCTGGGTCAGAGCCTCTGGACGCCAGGGTCCAAGACAACAGAGCAGCAGAGCCCGCACCCTTAGGGTGGGAGTAGGCTGCCTGGAACGGCCAAGGACCTGGCATCTCCACGTCATGGGTCTCCTAAAAGGTGAGACATCTGTAGAGATTGGTGAACCAACTGCCAAGGCAAAGTCTGCCTTTTGCTCAGTGGTTGCAGAGAACAGAGCAGGGCGTGCACCTTGAAGGGTGTACAGGAGCCCCATGATGCCTTTCCTGCCACACCTGGCACCACTGGACCTTAGGCACAACCCATAGTTTTACGGCAGTTGCCTCTCAGGTCCCCAGGTGTGTTTTCATTAAGAGCAGAGGAGTGAAGTCTGCTCCTAGAAGACCCAGGCCCAAGTTTTCCTCAGCCTGGTCTCCCCCTCACTCCCCTGGGGAGCGCCTTTCCTGTCCCCAACAGCTGGCTTCCAGCCTCCTCTATGTTTGGGCATCGGGAGTGTCCCCTTCCCCAACAGACGGGATCAGTGCTCTCTGTCCAGGTCACTTCTAGGACCTCCTCCCACACCTGTGCACATCTAGGGTGACCTGAGGCCCTCCACTCCCACAGGCCCCAGTCCAGGTGCTGATCTAACACCTGAATAACTGATCCTGTCCACTTTGCCCTGGTCTAGGGCCTCTTCCGCCCGCACAGTCTGCTCAGCCCTGGGAGCTGCTGAGGCCACCCGGCCCTGCCCAGCCGCTGCTGCCAACCGGGCCTCCACCCACGGGACCTGTTCTCCACAAGCCTAGACTCGTCCACAGACCTTGCCACAGCCTGGGGCTTCACCACCCCATAGCACGGGGTTAACATCTGAACACCCTTTCCTGGTCCTCACCTGGCCACTCCTCCAGTCTCTCAGACCCTGTTGTGACACAATACAGCCTAGACCGGGCCATTTGCATCTGAGACTGGCAAGGGCGGACAGGCCCAGTCGCCTCGGGGCTCGAGGCTGCGGAGGTAAAACAACAATAAAACGGAGGAGGGGTCTCCGGCAGCCCAGGTGAGGAGGCGGGGTCGCCGCGCCGCGCCGCGCCACGCCAGGCCGGGTGGGCGCGGCAGGCAGCGGGCGCGGCGTGGGGAGCGCCGGTGGCCGGACACCTGCGGGCGCGCTGACTGCCCGCGCCTCCCGCCTCACCTGCGAAGTTCTTGGTGAAGACCAGGGTGACCAGCAGGATGGGAACGAGCACGGTGCCGATGGTGACCACGCGGTCGAATGGCAGCTCCAGCTTGAGCTGCAGTAGCAGCGCGGCCAGCGCGCCCGCCTTGTCGTCCTGCGCGCCGGGCAGGATCAGCTCCCGCAGCTTCTCGCCCGCCAGCAGCGCGGTCGCCATGTCCGCCGACTGCTCCAGGAGGTGGTGCATGGGGGGCGGGGGCGCGGCCCGGGCGGGGGGCGCTGGGGGGCCGCGGCGGGCGGGGGCGCGGGGCGCGGGGCGCGGGCAGGCGGGCGCGGCGCCGCGCGGGGACTGGGGCCCGCCGCCCCGCGGGAGGGGTCGGGCCGCCGCGCTGCAGCCGGCCGGCGCCCTGCGTCCCTCCCGCGGGCGGCGGCGGCTCCTGCCTGGGCCGCGCGGCCCGCTCCCGCCCGGGAGGGGCTGTTTACCTGCGGCAACTCCGCGGCGTGGCTCCGCCCCCCCGGGCCCGCCACGTAGCTGCGGCGCCGCGATGACTTTGCAAAAGATGTTTAAAATGAATGAGAAGAGTTAATAGCGACCCGCTTCTCCGCCTGAGGACGGGCCGAGCCCGGCCACCGCGCCCTGGGCACGGGCGGGGCCGCGTGGGCGGATGCGGGGAGCGCGCGGGGCCTCCGTGGCGCCCGCCTCGGGTCCGCGTCCCGCCGTCCGCGCTGCAAACGCCGCTTGGGCACAGACGTTCTCCCCGCGTGTTGCGGACACGGGCCAGGAGGCCAGAGTCCCCTTTCCCAGCGGGGCCGTGGCACGGAGACGCTGTGGGGCGCCCGCCGCGGCGACCCCTGCCCTCCCGCGAGCCCCTTCACTGCGGCCATCGGCGCGACTCGCACGCAGCCCCGGTGCGACGTCACCCGTGCGGCCGCTGCGCCCAGCTCCCAGCCCGCACCACCGTCTCGCCTCTCGTTTGCTCTGGCCCGCATCCTCGGGCCCGCGCCACCTTCGGGCTCCGGGCCACCTCCGCCGGGACGCTGCTCCTGCTCACTCGCGTCTGGGTCTGGCCTTGGGCAACAACACGGGGCGCGTGGCGCCCTGCCCTGGCCACCCGCAGGACCTTCTGCACCCCTACCTTTTTTTAAAGCAGCATGCTTGGGGGCGGTTTTCTGCAGCAATTCACCCAGTTTGTTTGCTGTAAACCCCTGTCCGGAGCATGGTTCCGGGCCTGCGACTCTGGCCTCCTTCTCTGGACATTTGCCCCATTGGGCTCCTGCACCCACTCCTATTTTCCACAAGTCTGTTCCCTGCATCCAGTTCCCTGCCTCAGCTACCATCCCTACAAGCTCCGCACCACCCTAGAGGAGTGTCCCCGCATGTCCCCATCGTTGTTGCCTTGAGGCCCTCTGAAGACTCCACTGTGGCTTGTAGGTGCCCTTGATGTTTCCCAGAACCAGCGGCTGGAACGGTTATCGCACCCAGCAGACTGCCATACCATGCCGGCTACATTGCCCATCTTTCGAAAAAATGTATAGTTGGGGCTGGGGATTTAGCTCAGCGGCATAAGCGCCTGCCTTGCAAGCAGACAGTCGTGAGTTCGATTCCCGATACCGATAAAAAGGAAAAAAGACAAAAAGAAAAAAAAAATGTGTAGTTTTGGGCGTTCTGATGTCACAGCCATTTCAGTATCCCCACAGGGTGTGACAGTGTTTCTGTTTTGAGGTGGTTAAAGTAGTAATTTGGAGACTTCATAAGAGGAACAGAAAACTGAACTCCACCCCCAAATCCCATGGAAAGCAAACTGCTGGCTGGAAATTCTTCTGCAGGAAGAATTCGTCTGCAGGAAGCCCCAGCTTTCCTTTCCTTTACAGTGAGTGGGTTACTGCTCCAGATCCCCTGCTGAGCAAGCCCGGGGCCTCGATGGAGTGTCCCTGATCCCGTGTGGACTCACGCCTCGTCAGGGTTTCGGTACAGTAAGGGTTTACGAGACTGATGGCAGGTGCTTCCTGTATTCCCTTTAGAATGACGTGGTCAGGCTTCTAGGAACACATCTGGTTGGAACGCTGAGATCGCCTTGAATGTGTAGATTAATTTGAGGGAAACTGAAACCTCTACTCTGACGCCTCTCCACTACTAGTACGTCTCTCCACTCACTAGGTTTTTACATCTTGGAATTGTAAGGATCTCTACATAGAGGTTTATTGCACTAGCTTGCTGGGTTATTGCCTAGATGTACCACGGGTCTCTGTGACATCCTGTTTTCTGTTGTGCATTTTAGTTGGTTATTCTGGCACTGAGGAATCTCTAGAGACACCAAGTTGGCGTGCCAGGTTGTTCTGCACGGTGCCGTTCCTAGAGCAGCACTTGGAGCACCCTGCAGTGTCACTGTCTTGCCAAAGGAAGCAGCAGGAGCTTGTGCCACCTGGCCCCAGCCCTCACCATCCCATCACAGCAGCATCTCTGTGTCACCCTCATTTCCAGAGAGGCAGCTGAGGGGTTAGGACCACAGGGTGGTCCTCCATGGCACCCTGGCAGCATCGTGGAGGCTCAGCCCCTCTGTTCCCCTCCCAGACCATATGGAGGAGTGCAGGGTGGGGTCTTCAGCTGGGCAGCCCAGACTAGAGGGTGTCTGTCTCAAGTTCCAGCCTAGGAAGGCAGGCATAGGGGTAGCAGCTCATCCTGTCTCGAGGGGATGGGTTAAAGGATCCTGCCAGGTTGGAGAGTGACACCACAGCAAAACTTCTACCCCCATCTCTTGCACTGATGAATGGCCCGTCTCAACTCTTGTATCCATGGAGGCAAAAAAAAGGGTAGCAATGAGCCCGTGTCATCCCAGCCCTGAAGAACAGCCTTCCGTGGAGACATGGACTGTTCGCCAAGAAGACCACTATGTGATGCATTTCTAGTTCAGTTTCGCCCCTACTGATAAAAGCTGGCAGTGTATGGGTGTCATTTGACTGTTCCCACCCAGTACTGAGGATTGAACACAGGGCCTTTGCACTGCGCTACACCCCCAGCACTTGTGATCCTCCCACCTCAGTCTGACACAGCACTGGGATTTGACTGGGTACTAACAGAAACCAAGAATGAGAGTCCAGACAAAATGCTTGTTACCGTGTTCGGCCTCATGGTTTCAGCTCATGGGCTACTCTGCCTTAGAGAAGCAGAGGAGATGCTGGTCAGGATGGGCTGGGTCATGCTGTGTACCCCGCCCCACTGCATAGTGGCCCAAATGGCACGCAGCTGTCCTGCCCGCCAGCTGACCCTGACCACCACCCCCACAGAGCAGGAAGCAAGTGTGAGCAGCACTCCACTGCTAAGGCTCCTGCGTTGGGCCTGTCCCAGTCTTCACACACCTGTGGCTGTGGGTGTGTGGGGCTGTGCAGTGTCTACAGTGTCCACCGTGTCCCGCACCAGGGAATGAGTCCATGGGGGAACCGAACAGAAACGTGAGCGCAAGGAAAAGGAGGAACTACAGCCCCTGACACTGTCCTCCAACAGCGGATGACGGGGGCATCTGAGGTGATGGCATTTCCATTCCACAGGGCACCGTGACAGGCTACTGTGTCACTGTCTTGCCTTAAAATGGCAATACTCACAATGCGCTAGGAACAGTATCTGGAGTAGCTTAAAACAATAATGAACGAAGAATTTTAGACAGAAGCAAGTGAGGAGTTTTTTCAGGTTTCCTCTAGGGGATCTCCAAACACAAGTGTTCAGCACTCCGTGCCTTTGTTCCCAGGAGGCCACGCTGGTCTGGGTTCCTGTCTACCTCTATTTCCCAGGGTTTCCTCCCTCAAAGCTCCGTGCCCCAGGGCTCTGCCTGTTCCGTTCTGCCCTTGGTACACATGTGCGCTGAGTTTGCATCAGCCTAGCCCTGGGGTACCCCTGGCTGGCATACACCCTGGACAATGGTGCCACCTGCAGGACCTCACTGCGCTCGCCTGTGTCTCCCAGTGGTGTGGGGGACCCCTGCTTTGCCTCCTTCCCCTCCAGGATATTCAAGTCCTGGAGTTAAGACAGCTGTGGGAAAAGTGCTGGGCCATGGCTGCACACTTTTGGGTTGCTCCCGTGGTGGTGGAGGTGGGAGTGAGGCAGGTGTGAGGTGCACAGGCTTACTTTCTGCTGGGAGAACAGGCAGGTTCCATAACCAGCTCCCTTCCCAGGATTTTCTGGGGCCTGCTGGTCACTTCCTGCTGTCAGGCCAGGCCCCGCACCGCTGCCTCACACAGCAGCGAAGCTAGGTGACAGCAGGCAGAGTACAGGGAGGCAAAGGCACAGCGCACAGCAAAGCTAGATGGCAGAGAGACAGGTGCTGGGGTACTGGAGGCCAAGGCTGGGATGGGAGGAACCCGTGGGGGCCCCCAACGAGTCCGCCTGTGCTGCTAGCACCACTGTGGCCCTGTGCGCATGGGGCTGGGTGCTGAGCTGCTCTCACTTCCACATGAGTGAGTTCTGCTGGGAGGTTCTTTGTTCTCCACCCGAGGTGGCATCTTGCCCAGTCTGCTCTCCAGGAGGTGGGAAGCCCCAGGCATGTCCTCTGTGAGGCTTATCCTGGTCATTTGGCCCAAGGGCTCCACCTGGGCAGGAGGACATGACGGGAAGGGTGCAAGTTTGCAGGACAAGAGTCTTTCCAGGGCAAAGCACCAGCCACTGCAGGAAGCTGCCTGTACACCTGGGACTCGAGTCCCTCAGCCCTCAAGTGGGGGTGGGGGGCTGGGGAATGGGCAGGGGTGGAGGGACCCCATCAGACTCCCTGTTTGCTCCCATAGGTTGGGACACCTGGCCCTGCTGCTTCCTAGATGTTTTAAAGGAGCAAGGGCTGCAATTTTAGCTCAACTCCCACCACATGAGGTGGAGGTGACCAGTGCTGGGGACTTGGTGACATGTCACTTCTGTCCCGAGTAGCCCAGTGTGGCTACCCCGTGAACTCAGCTACCCCATGAAGTCCTCAGAACTTGGTATCTGTGTGCACAGACAAGCTAGCTCCTAGCTAAAAGGGGAAGGCAGAAACTCCAGCACAAGCCCTGCCTAGGTGCAGCCTTGCAGAAGCACTGGGGCCGGGGGTGAGGGGATGGCCAGCCATGCTGTACCACACAAGTCTGGCTCAGGATAGATCAGGAGTGGTGGAACCAATCCAGACTGCAGATGGAGGACAGCCATCCTTTCACTGGATGTGGAGGAGAGGCCACATGGGATCCTAATCACTGACACAGGTGCATTCTTAGATGAAAAGGAAGCTGGGGTCACTTGACTTTATTTAAAAGGTGGGAAGCAGCAATGGGTACCCAGTGGCAGGGGTGAAGCAGTGGCGGCTTGTGGGAAGCAAAGTTAGTGGCAGGGGCAGGAATAGTTCAGCCAGCTCCGTGTCGTCTGCCTGCACCAATGCTCATGGCTATGAGAAAAGGTGTTTGCAGGAGCCATGGAACAGAAACAGGAACACAGCTAGGCCAGCCCCTGTGGTCTCCCTGCATGTCAGCCGCTGTGTGTTAGCTGAGCCCAGCACTTCTGTCCGGTCGATCCTGGAGGGTACGTGGTCTATTCACAGCTATGGTGGAGAAGAGGCATGAAGCATCTGGTCCCCGCAGCAGCCTGCTAGCTGAGCTTTTCCCTGTGAGGTTTCTCAGGAGCACTGGGAAGGTGATACAAATCCCAAATGTCCAAGAGAGAGTGACCTCTGCAGCCAGGGGCCAACAAGAACCAAGGAAGCAGTGTAGCCAGGCCCTGAGGCTGCACATATGTGGGTGTGCAGGTCTTTTTGTGGTAGGGCCTGTAGGGAGCCACTGAAGCTGGAGATTGATCTCATGTGTGGGGCTAAAGCAAGGCCAGCCCTGAGAACACAGCCCAAAACAAGCCAGGTGTACAAGCTGTTTCAGCTCCAGGAAGGCCAGGGGCCCAGGCCAGCCAGGCAAACAAGTTGCTAGGCAGTGTGGCGAAATTGACATCCTTCTCCTGTGTGTGTGTGTGTGTGTGTGTGTGTGTATCTATATCTATCTATCTATCTATCTATGTATTTTTTTTTGTACCAGGGATCCAACTCACAGCCTGGCACTTACCAAACAGGCATTTGTGCCACTGAGCTAAATCTCTGGCCCAAGTGTATAAATAAACGTGCTACAGTGGTTGAGCAGCTCCTTTCCGCCCATCAGGAAAGTAAGGACTCGACCTGACCCCAGTTTTGTCTCTTCTTTTCTCATCCTCTCTCTCAGTCCTTCACTCCAGGAACCTCAAGAGCCACATGGTTACAGCAGGGGCCCACAGCCAGCCACTCACCTTTGAAGAGCCTGTAATTCAGGAGGCAGATCGCACCCTGTGTAAACACCATTTGTAATGCTGTATTCCAGCAGAGCACCAAAGCAGGGGTCCTGTTGGAAACACAGGAGAGTCCAGCACCAGGTACTGTGCACATCACCTGCCCCTCCCCCCCACCAAGAACAGCAACCTCCGTATCCTGCAGACTCACCCTGACAAGCACGTGAGGGTTCCCCAGCACAATGAGCAGGGCTTTGGGTCTGGTGATTGCGACATTGAATCTCTTTGAGTTGGACAAGAAGCCCAAAAAATATCGATCGTCTTCAAATCTATCTTCACTTGAACGTACCTGAAAAACACAGAAACAAGTCAAAATAGTATTTGAAGTTTTTTCTGTTTGGCATGAAAAAATTTAATATGAAAACACTCTTAGAAAGGTTAAACTGCAGAACCCCATTTCTGGTTAAAAAGCAGGAGGAGGAAAGATCTTATTATCATTCCGTCCAGGGACAGGGAGACCCCAAATGCTAACAGCTTTTCTCTGGAGGGCAGGGGTCTGTGTGGTTATTTTCTTTTGATATCTGAATTTTCTAATGTATCTGCGATTAACATGTACTGTGCAAGTATTAAGAGTAAAGTACGGAGTTTTGGAGTCACTGGATGGTGGTGCAGAGGCTGGGTGGGTGGCAGCTCTTTGTGACACCTGTGTGCGCTCTGCTCCTCGCCTGCCTCCTGTGTCGGTGCCCACGCCCTCCACACAGTCACTGTTCCTTTCTGGATCCTCTTCCCACTTGTTTCTCCTGACCCGCGAGGCTTGTGTGGAAGAGCTCCCCACAGCCACTGCTTGTGGTAGCGCCTGGGCCTAGGAGCCTCCACCCCCCAGCACTGCTGTGCGTCTGGCCCTCCATCTTATACTGGACTGTGCCCAGCGCCCTCGGAGCATTCTGTGGCTTCATGCACAGGCCGCCCCGCCCCAATGGGTACCTACAGTGGAAATGATGATCACCAAGTATTCTTGCCCTTGAAACTCCTCGACCGAGCCAACCTTTATGTCCATCAGATCGACATTTTGCAGAAGAATTTTTATTTTCTCCACCTTTAAACAGGTTAAAACATTAAAAATAACACACACACACCTAATCTGTTTACTTATCACAGCACAGATTAAATACCAACCAAGGTGCATGGCTGCTTTTTAATTCTGCATCACAGGGGCGTACAGTGTAGTTACTTGAGACAAGATGGGCTGCCCACTCAATGCTGCTGGCACACAAGGGGAGAAGGAACCCGATCCTTGCTCATCTTACACTTCAGTGCCAAGTGAGTCCCAAGTGTGAGCTAGGTGTGGTGGGCATCCTTGTAATCCCAGCTACTTGGGAGGCTGAGGCAGGAGTGTTGCCTGAGCCCAGAAATTTCAGGCCAGCCTGGGAAACACAAGTTTTGTCTCAAAGAAAAAAAAAAAAAAAGAAAAATCTGGGTTCACACCTGTAATTAGCACTTTGGGAGGCAGAGGCAGGAGGTTTTCAGGTTTTGAGTTCTACTTGGGCAATTTAGCAAGACGCTGTGTCAAAAAAAGCGAGGCGCGGGGCATGCAGGGATGTAGCTCAGTGCAAAGACCCTGGGTATAATCCACAGGACAGCAATGAACAAAACAAATCTATGCATACTCAAAATCAAGTGCTATTTATTCTAAAATATGCATATATTTAAGACTCTCCAAAGGAATTTTTTTTTTTTGTACCAGGAATCAAACTTAGGACCTCATGCTTCCAAGGCAGGTGCTGTGCCACTGAGCTATATCCTGGCCCCAAGAGGGAAATTTGGGAAAATGCTTGGTGATTTTAAGTTAGGGAAGTATTTCTTAGACAAAAATACCACAAACCATAATGGAAATTATTTACAGATAGTCTGTCTTATGATGAGTCAACTGAGAAATTTCTGACTTTACAACAGTGTGAAAGTGATACACATTCGTTAGTTATATACTTCCAATTCTGATCTTTCCTCTGGCAGGTGAGATCCAGCACTACACTATCGAAGTACTGGGCAGCAACAGAACTTCTACTTATAGCTGGCCACAGCTGGCCCTCCACATCTGCATCCTCCATATCCACAGATTCAACCAACTAGAGATCAAAACTGTTTGTAGGCCCATGATTGTACATCTGTACTGAGTATGGTCTGTACTGAGTATGTACATTTGATGTCATCTTCTCCTCAACAGTGTGTGTGACAGCTTTCCACATTGCATCTGCACTGTGTTAGGGACCCTATGTACGCCAGAGACGATGGGCAGTGCAGGGAGGGTGTGCTTAGCTCATATTTGCTAAGGAACTTGAGCATCTGCAAGCTTCGGTGTTCATGGGAGTCCTGGAGCCAATTGCAGTGGATACAAATAACAAATGCACAATGTGACTAAGCCCTGACATTTAGGAGGTTACAAGTACTGAACGCACTGTCTGCTTACAGTGGGTTTCCACGATATAAGCCAAGGACAGTTGGGCATCTGTGTACAGCTAGCTACATTAAAATTTAAATAGTAACAAACACCATCCCTGAACAACCACCACACCCCTGAGAACCACAGTACACACTGGAGGACCACAAACTGCTGAGAGCCCTGGAAAGCAGCTGTGGGGGTCACTAGGTCCGAGCCAGTGATTTAATAGGGAAAGAACAGCCACTGGCAGGGAAAGGTTCCGGCGACAGAGACCTCAAGGTGGGTTTCACATCCACCCGCCATGGGACCCCTGCAGGGCGGGGATTCCCAGCTATAGGGGTGCGGCCTGGGAATGTCCACCTCAGCAAGCTGCGCTAACTCTCGAGTGCTGCCTCCAGCATCCTCTGGGCTTGAGTGATGAGGACGTAGGCTGCAGATGGTCACAACAGAGGTGTCAGAGTGCACAGGCGGCCCTGGACTTGCGGTACCCAGGCCACCTACGGTGCGTGTGGGGCTGGAGGTGACTCCTGCACCCATGCATAGTCCTCCAAACCGAGGTAGAGTTGTCTATGTGTCATAGGCTGTGAAGGCAACAGATCATAGCATGACAACTGTGGGACATGGGACCACAGAGTCTCAGCTCTGCATCTCCCACAGTATCCCACATGCTTTCCTGAGCATCACAGACCAGAAGGCCCCAAGGGTGCCCCCCAAGCGGCCAGGTGCACTTGTCCAGAGGTGGGGCTGCAGCTGAGCTGTGGAGAACCTGAGGCGGCGGGGCCTGTCCTGCAGGTGGGGAGCAGGGACTGGAGGAGCTGCTCCTGAGGCAGGTCTCAGTCAGCCAGGCTGCCTGCTGGCAGCAGCTCCGACCACCACTGTTGACCCTGCTCAGCTGTGTCACCAGATGAGTGACTCACTTGTTTCAGGAGCTTAGAGGTCCGTACGTACTAGATTCTCTGTTGAATACAGGGAGGAAAAGAGTAAGTGACAGAGTCCTGGTCAATGCCCATGAGCAATTACACTTGCATGGAGGGACACTGAAACAAACAACTAAGCCAAGTGGTCATCCAGTGGCCACGGTCAGTGTGGAAGCCTGGAGGAGGCCCTGAGGGCTTGAGGCCTGGGTTGAGCATAGGACAGGCTGCTAACACACACACCTGCTGGGCCCAAGGCTTCTGGGCCACGCTTGTGTCACAGGAGCTGGCTTCCTCTGGGAGTCTGCTAGTGCACCTTAAGGACTCCAGATCAAAACAAAATACAGGCAGAAGAGCAACAGCGAAGCAAGGAGACAGACAAACTCTGCCCCCGAGCAGTCACGTCCCTGGAAAAACTGATAAAGATCTTTTGGCACCCTGGACATGAGACGGGGTTGGTGACCAGCATGTTCCTGACTGAGGCTGCCCCATGGCTGGGAAGACTGAACGAGCCTGGTAGGAAACAGTAGCCCAGGAAACTCAAAGAGCCTGAGCTCTGTGGTGGGTAGCACGCAGGAAGCCCCAGCCAGCAACAGCTTTACCAGACACGGCAGTGAGTACACGCGTCACCCACTGCTTGTCAGCTACGAAGCTCGGTAGACATGCTCTGTGAGCTACACTTAAAACCAGGTAAAAAGAAAACTCATCAGAGACATCAACTGCCATACAGACACAGACAGACAGACGGACAGACAGACATTATGGTCTGGACCTAGGCAGAGATGAGACAAAGCAGCAAGGAAGAATAAACCCAGTGACCATCATGGGGGGGGGGATGCAGAATCAAAGGTGCTGAACTTTAAAGATTGCATGGCTTCTCTTCTATGAGAAACCTAAAGTATATACAAATAAAGAGTGAAAGAGAGGAGAGATGGAGAAAACAGGTGAGGCAGCTTTCTGGAGGTGGAGAAGAAGATGAGAAAGACTGGAAGGGGGCGATGATAAAAACTGATCAAAATATGACATACCTATGCGCCAATTCCCCACAGCAACTGTAAATATATATTGCAAGTATACACCAATACAAAATTTTAAAGTTACTATATTTCTAAAAGTCTTAGTTTTTAACAAAAATATAAGATATGCCAAAAAATCAAAAGTGTGACCCACATTCAAAAAGAAAGACATTAGCTGGTTGCAGAGTGCATGCCATTAACTCAGTTATTCAGGAGGCAGGAACATTCAGTTTGAGTCCAGTCTGCACAACTTAGTTAAGACCTCTCCTCAAAATAAAAACACAAAAGGCTGGGGATGTAGCTCAGTGAGAGCATATTTGCCTAACACATTCAAGTTCCTGGCAGGAGAAGAGCCAGGAGCAGAGGAGAAGGAAGAGGAAGAAGAGGAGACATCATACTGAAGAGCATTTCCAGCTGTTAGATTTCATACAGATTTGGAGGTTACTATCACAAGTACATCCACACAACTAAAGGAAGCCGTGGAAATACTCAGGCAGAAGAAACAGAACGATGGTTCTCTGGAACAATGGAGAGCAGAACGAAGGGCTAGTGGGAAGTCTGCTGCAGTCTGGTCACAGAGGTGAGGCCCCTGGAAGGCTCACAGCAAATTCCAGATGGCAGAAGAGTGAGCTAGTTGGGTGCAGTGGTGCACTCCTGTGATACCAGCATTTGGGAGGCTGAGGCAACAGGATTGCCGCAAATTTGATGCTAGCCTGGGCTACATAGTGAGTTCAAAGCCAGCCTGAACTACACAGTGAGACCTTGTCTCAAAAAAGCAAGCAAGCAAGCGAGTGAGCTCAAAGTAGACTGACAGGAAAAGACTGAGGGAAAATGTGGCGGCCAATGGGGTGACACCCAGCTACCAACTTGGAGAAAACAGCCACAGAGAAAGGAGAGAATATATGAAGAAATACTGGCCCCCAAACTACCTAAGTCTGATGAAAAACTAAACCACAGATCTAAGAGGCTTAAAAAAATTTCAAGTAAGACAACCAACCAAGAGACCATGAGCTGACTTCCCAGAAGGTGCAGAATCGGCGAGCAGCGGCGAGGGCAGAAGAGGGAGACAATGACTGGCCTCTGCAGCGCACAGCCCCCGCCCCCCGGTGCACCTCCAGACACCCCCCAGTGCACCTCCAGGGGCAAGGCTGCAGGCAGAGCGCGTCCTCCAGGCAGACTGGCACAGGCTCCCCAGAGCAGAGGAAGTGTTCCACTCCGTTTGAGGGGACACTTGGGGAACGTTTCTTAAGCCCACAGGCCGAGGCCTAATTTCTTCACCCATTTCCAGATGACAAGATCCATATACTTATGTTAAAAAAAGAAGAAGAAGAAGGGGGAAACTAACAAGATACGTTGGTCTCTCAGGAAAAGTAAAACATAAAAAACTCAATAGTGATCAGGGGCATGAAAATGTCCAGGTTTGCTACAGCCAGATGCACAGGACGAGAAGGAGGGCAGCTGGGCAGCTGGGCTGGTGGGCACAGGGCTAGCCTGGCAGGCAGGAGGTGTGCAAACACAGACAGTGTGGGCTCTCAGCAGGTCACTCTCCCCCTTTAGGCTCTGGAAGGGCTAAGTGTCACCTGTGCAGGCCAGCTTCGGAAGACATGAAGTCACAGTCCGGTTTCCGGGACCTCCTCCCCCTGCTCTGGTGTTGGCACACACAGAGGTGAGGTTCCAGAGTGACGCTCCTGTGTGTGGCAAGAAGGTCCTTCAGGGCAGTGAATGCACTGGGTGGGTGTGCTGGTGGTCACCACACAGAGGCCCTTACTGGATCAGGGAGAGTCCCATGGAGTGAGAGCTGTGCCCTTCAAGAATGACAGAAGTAGCCAGCGTGGTGAGGCATGCCTGTGATCTGTTGGGATTACTCTGGGAGGCTGAGGCAAGCAGGCTGCAAGTTCAAGCCCAGCCTGGGTGGTTTAGCACATTAGTGAGACCCCATCTCAAAAGAGCTTTTTAAAAAGGGCTGGGGATGTGGCTCACTGTGGAGAACAGAGACTCAATCCTGAGTACCACAGAGAAAAAAAGCCTCCCCTCGCAAGAATGCCCAAAACACTCCTCTTGAAAGCCTCACTAAAAGTTGAGATTGGAGGCTTCTTCCTAAAGTGCTGAATATCAAAGCTATCTCACAGGTCCCTACAGAAACATGCACGAGAAATGTACAAGGCCTGCTGGGCTCTGGCTTTGGAAGGCCAGCGGCTGCCTCCAACACAGCATCCTTCAAGCATGGTTCTGCTTCTTTAAAACTCACTGCTGTTCGCAATGAGCTGGTCTCTGCCCTCAGAGACTGCACAGGATAAGGAAGCAGGGCTGCAGCAGTCACGCAGAACGAGAAACCCTAGAGGTCCTACCTGCTTCCGATAGGGCGTGATGACACCTATGTCCCTGGAAGACACCTGGCTGGACATGCTGTTGGCCAGCAGGCAGCAGTAGCGCATAACTTGGACAGCCTCAGCTGGATTGAACCACGACGGGCTGCGTCCTTCACGAGCCTCCATGCCCTGAGTTAAGGAGGAAAGAACTTATTAGTGATGTTTACCAAGGGCTCATCATCAGGAGCTGAAACAGAAGGTGGGAGTAAACAGTGAACATGACAGAAAAATCCCTACTCTCACAAAGAACTTAAAATCATTAAGTAAATACGAATTACTTGCATGTCAATGCTACAAAAGAGGACCAGCTGCACCCATGTGTTACTGAGGTGGAAGGCCTGGGGAGAATTACACTTTAGGGTGTGCCCAGGCTGACCCAAACTTTCAATCCTCCTGCCTAGCCTCCTCAGGAGCTGCACTAAGGTGTGCACCACCACCATGCCTACCCGGTAGGATTCCTTCATGTAACACGACTGAGGATGGCTAGGAATTCCCTGGCAAGGAACAGGCAGTGCTGGAGGGAGGGCACTCAGGGCCTCACATGGAACAGCTCAAAGCTCTGCAGGCAGAGGGAGAGGGCAACAGGCCAAAGCCTAGGGAGCCTGAGAGAGCCTACAGCATGCCTGACAAGGAGAGAGACGGCTCTGGAGGCTGCAGCAAGGTCCACTCCCCGTTCCGAGCACAGGGCTGTCAGCCAACCCCCTGGCTATGTCTAACGGCACTCTCGAGTCTCCTGGATTGCTCCCACTAGAGGACAGAATTATTCTCATCCCGAGACAAATTTCTCAAAAGACAATGGGAAGGTGGGTGTGGTGGTGCATACCTGTAATCTAGTACTCTGGGAAGCTGAGGCATAAGGACGGACAGTTTGGATTCTAATCTACCAAACTGTATTTTTTTTTGTCAATCACATATAGTTTTTATTTTCTCCAATTTTGTAGTATGTTTGTAACATTAATTCACTTTTTAAATAAAACACTCATAATGCCATTCTATTATCAGTTTCTCATGAGAAAGCTTTCAGTAATTTCTATTTAGATTATAGTAAACATATGGGTTAAATGGGGAAGAACTCACATCTTTAAGACACTAGCACACACTCTCCCCACTCCAGTCCTGAGGGATAGTCAGACACACACCATGGACACAGACCAACCCCAAGGAAGTGCAGGGGGAGTGCTGGGACAGACACTGTTTGCCAGAAATGAGCAAGCTGCTCCTTCCCACTGTCACCTGGCACAGTGAGCACCTGTCTGCTCAAGGCATGACTTACCCTCACCCCATGGAAGACGAGAGGGAAGCCTTTCTTGGGCAGCTTCTCCCAGCCTAGCAGTAAAGTCACCACTTTGGGGTCTGCACAGACTTCGAGCTCCTTGTGATAAAACAGGCGAGAGGGCAGTGCCAGCAGGGCAGAGTGGGACCTGTAGTTCTTCACCAGCTTTGTGACCTGCAGGGCAAGGACAGGTACGGGTGGCAGGGAGTCAGCTCCACACACTTCCTGTCAAGGGAAGAAGGTTCTGCGTGCCCAGCCTGAGTGCTCCCTCCCTCCCTGAGGCCTGCTGCCAGACCCCGCCTTCCGATGACTGTCCACACAGCAGTTTATGTGAGAAAGGTGCACACTATGAGGAGAGGCGAGTGACGGGCCTGCTCTCTGCTTCTCTCCTGGGTCTCAACCAGCTAAGTGTCTCTTAGTGGGCACAGATAGCTCTGGATACCCTTTTGTGCTCAAGCTTTATGCTGATCCACTATCTTGTGACTTCAGGGCTCCACATGAAGCCTGAGCATCTGTCTTAGCTGGGCTGCAGGAAGTCACAGCCTCCCTGGCAGAGCTGCTGGTCATGAGGACACACCAGCTAACAAACACTTCACTTTTGCCTCCAGCTGGCCTGGGAAATTCACATGGTGCAGGCATTTGTCTTTGCTGTTGGCATCCATCAGCCTCAGGATAAGATAGCATAACTATCTTACTTATTATATATACATGTATATATATATTTCTCTCAGCTTCTCACACTAATGAAACAATATGTTTACACGTGTCTTATTTATTTCACTAATGAGTATATTCTCAAGTTGTATCCATTTACCTATAAAAGTTTCCAGTTTATCCTTCTTTATGGCTGAATAGTACTCCATTGTATACAAATATCATGTTTTATCCATTTCTCAGTTGATGGGCATTTAGGCTGTTTCCAAGATCAAATGTCTTTTTTGGGCAGACATTTGATCCTGCCACAGCCTCACCCTGGGCAGCTCACAGACGAGTGTGCCTTTCCACTTAGTGGACACCCTCCCCAACTTTCTATTCCACTGCTGCCCCCTCGTATTTCCAGCAGGACTGATGGCCAGGCGCAGCCTCATGGCATTTCCCTGAAAGCCTTCCACTATCATACCTCATCAACACTTGGAACACAAATCTTTCTTTTTGTATTGCAGTTCAGCAGTTTAATGTAATGTAGCAGTTTAGGGAATAATGATATTTTTGCTTTATAGTAGTTTCAGTCTAATGATGAGCCTTGAGATTCAAGGTTCCATAGCTCAGTGTCCTGGGGCTCCCAAAGATGCAGGTTCCACAGCTCCACTGCCACCCCTAGGAACTGCTATGACTGAGGCGGTGGAGAGCCCAGAATCGGTGCATTGAAGAGCACTTGTGTCAGAAGATCCCACAGGAAATGCTCCCTGAAGCTCTGGGTGGAAGGCTTTCTCCTTTTTAGGCAGCTACAAAAACCACTTCTAAGGAACCACCCTAAGGAAGTCACATGGGTTCTTCTATTGTTTGAACCCCCGTGACTCTGTCTCTTCAGCCTCACACCTCCTGGAGCCCCAAACCCCAATGGAATCCTCAGGTGACACACCTGTAGGATCCTGGGACCAAAGAGCAGGAGAGAAGTACTTTTTTTTTTTTTTGTCTTTTTCGTTTTTACCGGTACCGGGGATCGAACTCACGACTGCCTGCTTGCAAGGCAGGTGCTTATGCCGCTGAGCTAAATCCCTAGCCCTAGGAGAGATGTACTTTAAATTGCATCGGGGATGTGGAAGAGTGAGCCCAGCACCCGCACAAGCCTGGAGGTGTCCGAGCCTGTCTCTGCTACGCAGGCTTTTCAGGACTCTGCACCTTCAGAGTTGGAGGGGTGAGGGGCAGCAGAGCTCCTTCAGAGAGGGAGGTGCAAACTCTGGGGCAGACAGGAGCCTCTGCCTTCGATGTGACTTGTGGACAGGAGGGGCTGACCTGCAGCGTGGCAGCACCCGGCAGGTCTGTCCTCAGGGGCTCCACCCCTGGGCGGCATTGCTCTGAATGCAGCTGAGACTCAGACTCACCAACAAGGGGTTGTATGCACCACAAGCACCGAAGGCATGCTCATCTCTCTGATACACGGGTCGCAACATCAACCTCTCCAGCATGGACACGTTCAGCCCGTAGGCCATGGCCAGCCTGGACTTGATGACTGGGCCAAGCTGCATGGGGTCTCCAGCAAGCACAATCTGTGGTGCAGAGAGACGAGGTCAGTGCTAACAGCAGGCATCTCCCACAGTTTAGGGTTGGTGTGCTATGCAGGGGGCCCGATGGGGACAAGGGAAGAGGCCAACAAGAATGAAATGCCAATGGCCGGACAGCCCAGTGGAATAGAGGCACTAAGAAAGCCCGAACACCACACCCTGGCTCCCGCCTCTCTCTGCAGCCCTTTCTTCTTTCCAGGTCTGGTACCCAGCTTTCTCTCTGACCAGCCTGGATGAGTGGTAAGAGACTGTGTTCTGGAAGTTTTATTTGTGTGTGGTCCTGGGAGACCACTCCTGGTCTTCGGAGGCCCTGTCCTGGTGGAGGCCCCACACATAACCACCTCAAACTGATGGTCCCTTGTCACTGTCACCCCAAGGCCACATGTCACATGTCACCCACCTAGGCCAGTCCTTGTCCCTCCTAACCCTCCTTTTGCTCTGCCTCATGAAACCCGGTGACCTGACAGGAGGGGTGGGACACGCTCACAGGAGGAGCCTGACACAGATGCCAGAAAAGCCCTGCTTGACCAGGCTATAGAGTTAGGGTTAGGAGTTTCTGAAGAAATCCACATCGCTGTGTAGGCAACATAGGAGAACAGATGGGCGCCTGCCAGGGTGATACACAATGGAGGGGCTGAAGTCTAAGTGCAGAGCCCAGAGCCCACGCAGCCTGAGGGAGGGACAGGTTAGACCATGGCAGAACATGAAGCTGCCCTCTCCCCTAGCACATGGGGCTGAGAGGATACACCACAGTCGCTGCCCTCGTTGGTAATCCCCAAACCTAGAATAGCTCACTGATTTTCTCTGAAACTGTAGAAGTCACAAATAGGCATCCTTTTCCTCTTTGCCTCAAGGACTGAGGCCGTGCTGGGTGGCAGCAGCATGGCCTGGGCTCTTTGGGACTCTGGTACCTTCACCTGACCCTTATGAGGCTATAACTATCCATCATCATGGAAAACAAGATCAAGACAGCAACGGCACACACAGTACACAGTGTGTACTGTGTACTTACCTGGCCACTGACATCTGAGATCAGCCCCAGAGGAATCAGGCATTCTGGTTCGCTCGCCTGCCCAGCCTCATCCACAAACACGTGTGTGAAGTGTCCAACTCTGGAGACAGAGATATTTTCAGCAGTAATTCTTACTACGCTATTTAGCAATCAATGGCTGACATACTGCTAAGCCCTTGCTCTGTGCTGCGGGGTCACAGCAGGGCTACCAAGGAGGCCAAGTGCTGGAGTCTGGAGTCACCTTGCACAGGCTTCTCCCAGCCAAACCAGGAGGCAATCCATAGCTGCTCTTCCAGCTCCCTCCCTGCAGTCCCCCGTCTTGCTCTGGAGGCTCTGGTTCTGTGGTCTCCTCTGGGGAAGGTGCCGGCCCTGCACCTGCAGAGCCTCTGTGCACAGTAGTCCACCTCCCTGCTGGTCCCACCAGTCCTGTCCTGCTCTCACCCCAGCCACCTCCCCTCACTTGTGAGCATGAAGAGGACACAGACCTCTCTCTGTCCAAGGGACCTTGCAACCCACATGGTGCCCAGTGCTTACCTTACTCCTATCTGGTAAAAAAGCCCTGCACTGCTGCAGGTTGTGATTATTATCCGGAAGCGGGAGGCTCTCCAGATATCTTCCCCATCTCTGCAGTACGGTTTGATGGCATCGATAATGGTCTGAGGCAAATAAGGCGGAGTGAGTCCAGTTTTCAAATTAAATATTCCATTAAATTGGCTAAATGACAAAGCTGCAAGGAATTCTAAAAGGTAATCTTGCCCTTTCGTCACTTCTTTTTTTTTGTTTTTTGGTCTTTTTCGGTACCAGGGATCAAACTCACGACTGCCTGCTTGCAAGGCAGGCGCTTATGCCACTGAGCTAAATCCCCAGCCCCCTTTTGTCACTTCTTAGTGAGGACTAATGATTTTTTCGTTTTTTGAAAGTCTCACCATGTAGTCCAGGCTGGTCTCAAACTCACGTCCCTCTGCCTGCCTCTGCCTCTGTCTCCTGAGTACTGCAATTACAAGCATGTGCTACCACACCCAACAGGAAGAATGATTCAATATGGTTTTTTAAAATTAAAATGCTTGCATTTCCATTATCATTATCAATGAACTCCATGTTTCGTGGACTCTAGAGCCATGAATGTAATCTGATCCTGCAGATCTTTTCAAGGAAACAGCTTTCATTTTCTAGTCTCAATCTTTTTTTTAAGCAATACTTTCTTTATAAGCAAACCAGGAACCTGAAGTTTCCCTAAAGGGTTTCTTATAATCAATAAAGCAGAACTAAAAAGAAACAGTACACTTTTGAGGGTCAAATAAAAAGGAATAATTGAATTTAACAAAGCTTAGATTGTTCACAATAGGACTGATACAGAGCGAGTGAGACAATACAGTGAAACAGGAGTAAGATCTCTCCTTCTAAGTGGCTTGTGGCACGAAGTGGAGCAGCTGCTTCTCCCTCGGGACTTCCTGTGAGGATCTGGTACCTACCATCCTTCGGCCT